TGCAGTGAGCCCAAGGGCCTCTAATGCCACCTTTCTACTGGGTCACTTCCTCAGTAACAGTCCAGCACCTACCAAGGACCTTCTGTGTGCCTGGCACTATGCTTGTGTTGGGGATATGGTGGGTAATGAGCCGCAGCGCTGCCTGCCTTCCGTCTGCATCCTCACCTGGGCTGCAGCCGGGAGAGGGGTTCCCACAAGAGGAGAGCAGCCCAGGCGCCCACAGAAAGCCTCGAGTCCCTTCCATCTGCTGCCACACCCCATTGTGTCCAGGCCTGTCACCGTCAAGCAAGGTGGGGTGAAGTCATAGCTTGAGGCTGAGCTCACAGCCATTCTGCACCTTAAGTTTCCATGGGGAGGAACACTTGGGAGGGAAAGAAAACAGTGAGCATTGGTTTCACAAAGAGATGACTTGGATAATAACCTCCTACTCATTGCAAGCCTCCACCGAGAACTTCCTGTGTGTCTAAGCCTGTGCCAAGAGCACTCTGGGTAGTATTCCTACAATTCCCACGGCTCTATGAGGGAGATATTTTTGGCCTAGTTTATAACTGAGGTAGCAAGGCAAAGGGAGGGCAGCCTGGCCAAGGCTGCACAGAGCCCTCCTGTACGGGACACCTCGCTGCTCTGAGAGGGGAAGGGCAGGTTGTCTAAGGGCCCTGGCGTCCGGAAAAGAGTTCACTGGCTCCCCTGTAAGAACACAGGGAGCCAGAGCGAAGGTAAAGGCTGGGAGTCGTAGCTACCGACAGACACTCTTGGACTTTGTCCCTTAGTTTCCGAAGGACAAGTTGCCATTTCCTTTTGTTGTAGATGTTGATTCCCTCCCCCAACAATGGCCCTTGGAAACTGTCACCTGCCTTCTGTCAACATGCTTTTTTGTTTGCCTTTTTTGTAACCTCATACAAGTGGATCGCACAGTATAGGTATTCTTTTGTGTTTTAGTAGTCCATTTCTTCTGAATGCTAAATGGTATTCTGTTGTGTGGATACCACAGTTTGCTTTTTCATCCACCTGCTGGTGTACATTTGAGCTGTTCCCAGCGTTTGTCTGGTAACATTTATTCTTCTGCAAACACTTGGTGGGTACTTACTGCTCTCTAGATAGGCGCTGGAGATAGAAAAACTAGTAGGATGTAGGTCCTTCTTAGGAAGATGAGGACAGATGATTACAAAGCCACGTGTTATTACGTAAACCGACCGTGATGCACACATGACTTGCTGTGTTATGTAAGCACTTGGGAGGGTATCTCACCCAAAAATGCTGGAGGGAAGTGGGACAAGTCAGGAGTCTTCTTAGAGAAAATGACGCTGAAATTGTCTTGAAACTTAGCCTTAAAATGGTCCCTAGCATTAGCCAGGTGGAGGAGGTTAGGATGGGTGCAGTACACAGATGGAGCAGACGGAGGGAGCACCAGGGAGTCTGCACAGTGGGAGAGGGTGCTTAGGGCTCCCTGGCGCAGTGGGGACAGTGGTGGGAGACAAGGTGGGAAAGGCAGGGGGTCAGATCCAGGAAGGCCCTGTGCCCTGCTGTGCTGGGGTGATGCTGTGAGCAGGGGAGGAAATACGGAGGTTTTGCTTTGGATTGATGGCTTCTGCTCAGTGAGGGGAGGGTCTCTTTGGTAGAGTCTCACTCAAAGACAGATGTCTGATGGAAAAAAAAAAAACTGGGGGGGAAGGATTAAAGAGGACGGCCCTGCAATAAACCCCACTCAGTAAACTTCGTGCTCATCTGAGTTGGGGAAAGTCAAGAAGCAGAGAGCCCCCCGAACTGAGACTCCCCAGTGCGTCCGGCCCAGAAGCCCACGGGTGAGTGCCAGTGCAAGGGGCCCCTTGAGAGTCTGGGAGGTCACCTTTAGGTTTTCCAAGTGTCTGTCTTTGGACTCATCCCTTCAGTTCTGTCTTGAAAGGATTCTGCTTAGAAGGAGTTCTGCTCTAAATGTGAATTCCTTCACGGAAAAGGTTTTTTTGTTTGTTTGTTTGCTTTTATTTTCTTTTTTGAAGAAACTTTTTACTTTTGTTTTCAACTACTGTTAATTTTTGTCCTTTGAAGAGAGCCTCAATCTGTTTCGTGGCTGTACGCAGCCAAGCCTCCCCAAACCCCCACCACGGTCATTTTAGAACTCAGTCCAGCCTCAGAGGCCACTGTGGACTATCTTTTCTCATCTTATTGCTTAGTCTTGGACGGTGCAAGGACGTTCTCATTCCCTGACTAGAAGAGAAGGGAAGTGAGCTTAAATTTATGAAGTATCTACTCAGCTCAGTGCAGGAACACATCATGAACCAAGTTTAAACACACACACACGTGTGTATCTATCATTTTGTCACTTACTTGTGACTCGGCTGTTTCTCCATCTTTTCAGAAGTCACAGTCGGAACTGTTCTACCTTTCTCAGGATTACGGTTGAGGTTTCAGGAAGGTTTGAAGACCGTCTCTGGTCCTGCAGACCTTTGGTTTCATTCACCCGGCCAGTCGGAGTCCATGAAGAACGTGCCAGGTCTGTGCTAGGCACAGACCACAAACCTGCCTTTCTGAGTCTGCACCCCTTGTGCTACACTGACGTCTCGCTGACCGATTCCTTTAGTTCAGTGATCACTGCAGACATCAGGAAAGCTAACAGTCCCTTTACTATTTCAGGGTGACCAGGGCGTTCCAGATGAACCCAGAGGAAGTGAAAAATCTGGTGCGAATAACCAGACATCCGAGCCCCAGCTCCAGGGAGGGAGCCAGGTGGTAGCACTCTTCAGTTACGAGGCTACGCACCCGGAAGACCTGGAGTTTCTGGAAGGGGACGTGATCCTGGTGATGGCAACGGGTGAGTGCTACTCCTGGACTGTAGGAACTGCTTGTCAGCAGGAAAGAAATTCAAGGGCAGAGAGAAAACATCAGGACGCTACACCCTTAGCCAGTGGTTTCGGCCTCCTCCCGGCTTTCAGCTGGAGGGAGCGCGCGGGAGCGGTCAGCCTTGCCGTCTGCTGTTCTCACGGGAAGGGAAGCGACATGCGCCAGACTTACATCACAGTGTGATTATTAGAGATGGCGATGTTTGAGAAGCCATGGGTTCTCATTCCCAGAGTTAATGAACTGAAAGGTGGCTGGAATCATTTTGCCTTTGCACCAAGTCTATGGTGCGTCTGCAAATGATTGTTCTTTGAATTGATGAACTTTTTGCAGATGAGGGAAGAAGGGGATAAATTTTGCCTTAAAAAGGAACTATTCAGCATTGCTGTCTCTGGTGACTTTCCTATTAGGTATCAAACACATTAAAACCTGAAGTAAGTGGAAGTTTCTAATTTAGTGCTTCTCTGGTAACTTTTTGAAAAGTCTAATCCGTTATCACATCTAAGACAGAAACCAGTAATAAGATGGCTAAATCCTACGTTCGCTCTTACCTCCGATCACTTCCCAATGCTGACTTTTCCCTGTGGCACAACTGGCGGTGGAGAAGGTCTGGCAAAAGGTCTGGTAAACGATCCAGATGAGGTCACTTTCCTATATACGGGATTTGAAATCAATGTGTACTTTTCCTTTTATCAGTGAATGAAGAATGGCTGGAAGGGGAGTGCAAAGGGAAGGTTGGCATCTTCCCCAAAGCTTTCGTTGAAGAATGCGCAGACTTGGAAAGCAGTCCCAGGCGAGTCTAGGAGGTTTCACAGGAAAAGGAAGCACCACCACGTGCAAGACGCAGCACGGCTCTGCAGCATACTGCACAGACGTCACCGTGCTGAGGTGCTAGCTCGCCTACTTCTCCCGGCTAACACTTGACCCATCAGACAATGACGTGAGATTCCCCTGGGGGCAGGGAGGGGTGGTGGCTGGAAGAGTCTGGAAGGGCATCAGGGAGCCCTGGGGGTGCTGATAATCTGCTTCCTGCTCTGAGTGCTGGCTACCAGATGGGTGCAGTTCGTGAAAATTCACCGAGTTGTACCCTGATAATTGGTACACTTCTCTGTATGTGATGCCTCAATAAAAAATTTACAAAAACAAGACACCCCGAGTGCAGGCCCCAGACCTAAGTGTAAGTGCCCCTACTCCTGCACCATCACTGTCCCAGACACCCAGGGCCTGAGGGAACTTTAGGGGTGATTCAGAAGGTGTGCGCACACACACAATTTTTTTTTTTTTTTTTTAGTTAAAATCCTCAATGCTTAAACAGAACCTACACTGGGTTAGGTGCCCCCGGAACATAGCTGCTAACCCCACAGAGAAGTAAAATACTAGAATCCCAGGCCCTCATGCCTCCTCAGGGAGGGACATTTGTTCAGGGCTCAATACTGAATCCACGCCACTGACAGGTAAGTGCGCCCATCCTGTCAGATGACGTTTATAATACGTACTGTAACGATGTACATGATAGATTGCTACGGCTTTATTTTGGTTATCATTTACCCAAACTACCTGGTTTTTCAGGGTTACCTTGGGTAAAAGATTCCATTAAATACTAGACCTTCAAAGACGTGGCCGCACTCCCCCTTTCTCTTACAGAATACACGAGGCATTGTGAACAGTGTGTCAAGGGTGTAGGTGCTTGTGGAAAGCAGAGCTAGGAAGTGAAGTGCAGGCTCAGTCAACATCAGGCGACAGGACAGCTGGTCGTCGTGCTGAACACGGACGGGCGGGCCGTGCCACTGGCTCCAGGCACACCGCCAAGGCCCAGCGGGCTGCTGCTGGAAATTTGGGACACAACTCAAAGGAAACACAGCCCCAAAGCTAGGAACGCTAGTTACTACCTCTGAGTTGCCTTATTAACAGCAACAAAGGGGATAAAAACGCTGGGTTAGCCCACCTGCATAAGCCATCTATTTATTAAAAGAATTTTGCCAGTTTCTACCCACCCCTTTCCACAGTCATGCACACTGGTTTAGAATGCGACTAAAAGCAAAAACAACCCCGAAGTGTGTTCGATTCTTGACCATCTTTGCTTCCCCTAGATGACTCGTGAGCAGTTCAGGCTTTCATTTGGCTGGATTTTCTTTTAGGACAGAAGAACAACCTATACACAGGGCTGGTTGGAGAACGTGGTTTAATTAAAGGCAAAGCCGATTTCAGCAGCTGCAGGGCTTGCACAGACAGACCGAAACAAAACAAAAAACAAAAACAGAAACAAAGCACAGAAGAAAGTTTACTACACAAAACCAGCTTCCAGTGAAGAGCCTCCTCTCCTCCCCACTGCTCCACGCTGAAGGCTGCAGGGCGAGGGCTCCCGCGCCGAGCGTCAGGGAGCATTCCACACACCGAATTCTCATGCAGAAACGGGGCTGTGGGTGGGACGTGGGCACTTCGGGGAGCGAGACGACGAACCTGGTCAGCCTGTCGAGGGCGCAAGAACCGGTGACAGTTCAAACACTGGAATGTCGCAGCTGCCTGAATGCAGAGCTCAAACACACGACGTGGGCGGAGGCGGCAGGGAAGGAGGCTCGGGAGGGAGGGAATGGGGGGAGAGGTGGCACGGGGAAGGGGCTGGAGAGAAGCACAGAGGATTTCATGTTGCCATTGGGTGGGGGACTTCACCCATTCAGACCTTTCAAAAAACAAAACAAAAACAAAAAACCCAAACACCATGTCAAACTAAAAGAGCAATCATGTAAGCACACGGGACTCCAACCGCTCTAGCAAGAGCAGTGAGTGTTCCCCTCGCCCCTTGTCACTGCCGGGGCTGCCCGGACTCCAGTGACGCCCGGGCTCCTGGATGTGCTTGGCTCTGCAGCCGCTCTCCAGCTGGGGTCCCACACTAACCCCACACACGCACACACCCCGCCCCTCCCCTGGGGGGCAGCTGGGCATGCGCACCTGCACACGGACACGCACACGCACACGAGAGACCTCCCAGGAAACAGACCCTACCACTAGCACAGCAACTGGACATTCATCAGATTGTTTCCATAATTTCCCCTTAAAATATTACTTTTCTAGGAAGTAACTATCAGAAATGCTGTCCTTCTGTTTCTACACAAGAACATTTTCAGTCCTCTTTCCTTCTAATAAATATCAAATAAAAGTTGATTTTCCTTTCTTTCGCCTTTTCCAGAAGGGACTTCGTTGCGCTTTCTTCTGTGCGGGACGCACACGTGTCCGTGCTGCCCTGGGTCTCACTCTGGAGGCGGAGGCTGGGAGGCCGTGGCGGACGGCCCCTCGGCGGGCTCAGCAGACGCCACTGCTTCCTTTCTCTCAGACTGTCTTTGGGCCCCCCTCCTGGCCCCGTGCTGCTGCTCCCTGGCGAGATGTTGTACACATTAGGAGTAAACACAATTACCAGCACACAGCGTAGGGCAGAAAGGGGGATGGAGGTAGGGACAGCAGGAGGTGGGTGGTAGGTAGGATGGGGGCACAAAAACCAACCAAACGAAAAATAATCACACTGAAAGCTTCTACCTATTAAAATGTGTCAGGCCGCGAGTGGACTAGCCTGCCTTCCATAGACGGCTTGCTATGCTACCGTAAAATGTACAGGAATCGAAAACGTTCATTTAAAATCCTACAGCAGTCGTCAGCTAGTCCAGACCAGCACCACCGCCCACGCTGCGTCCTCCACTGGGGCTCGAGCACCGACAGAGAGAGGGGTGCTTCCTGCTGGAGTCTCCAGGCCAGAGGAGGGCCCACCAGAACCTTCTGGGTGAAAGTGGAGGCCTCTGTCCTCTCCCTTCTGGAACACTCCCCTGGCGGAAGAGGTCAGTCCCCCCTCCGGTCACCGCCAGCCTCACACAGGAGCAGCGCATGGGGCTTTCCTTGCTACACACTGACTAGAAGCACGTCTGTGTATGGAAGAGTTCAGTGTGATGTTTCACTACTGAGAGTAATAACAATAATAAAAGATGTTCAGGAGTAATTTCAACTACATTCTCAGTCAGCAAAGCAATCATTAATGGATTCCTATTTTATTCCCCAAAGAGGAAAAAAAGGACTGAGACGTTCCCACTGGCTTCTCCCATCTGCCTTCCCTTCTCAGCTTTCACTGCCCGTGTGGCTGGGGACATGCACGACGGAGAAGGGGGGAGGCGGTGATGTCAGGTAACTGAGTGAGACGAGCAGCAGCTCCTCCCCCTCCGCAAGGCCCCGGGGGACGGACAGTTCCTGGTGGTTTTTCTTTTTGTTGCACTGCGGACATTTCGTGCACACTCAGCGGGCTGGTGGACGCTTACACCCTCTCAACAGCAAGGAACAGAAAAGAGGGCTGCCACCTGCAGGGGACTGCGTGGGCCGGTCCTGCACGCCCAGCATGCCATGGTTTATGGAGCCTTCGTTCCCAGGGCTGCCCCTCGGCTCAGTGTGGAGGGTTCATGGTGCCGTGTCCCCGCTGCTGCTTCTGCTTCTGCTGCATTAACAGCTGCTCCAGAGCGGAAGGTCCAGGATGCATCATGGAGCTGGACCAGATAGACTGAAAAACAGTCCAGAGCTTGTCAGCAGAGGTCAAGTGCCTGGTTGTCTGAAAGGGATTTCCTTTTTAATCCCAGCCAAACACAAAGGCATTTATGTCCCAAGATTTCCCACCCCTAAAAAAATCCAGCTATGAGCAAAAGTTGTTGTAGACCCGACCAGTTCTCATGAAGATCATTTTAAACCAGAAAAGCTGAAAGGATGTTTCAAACGAAGTCTTTTTTTTTTTTTAACTAAAACTCAGCTCCATGTGAGACCACAGAGCATTTACTAGAAAGGTTTTAGGCAAACAACACATGTCTAAAATTAGATATCCTTCTTCTACTTATTCAGAAAAGGCTTAAGTAAAATATTCCAAGATGAGTCAGAATTTTCTTAATCTTAGACTCCAGCTAAAGACTTCATGCCTGTCCCAAAGATACTGCTTCATCACTAGCAAATTCACAAATTAAAAAAAAAAATAGCAATCCTATTCAAGAATTTTATAAGGCAGGTAAAGGTAAGGGAAGTGCCATGAATCAGTCAGTTCGAAGGGCTTTAGGAGTGAGACTAGCCCTGTGAACAGAAGCAGAGATGTCTCCTGTGGTTCTTGCTCCCGGCCCACTCACCTTTAAGCTTTCCATGAGCACAGCAGAGGAATCCTCCATGGAGGGACCATGGCCTGCCCAGGAGCCACCCGGAGTGCTGGCCTGATGCCAACTGCTCTCAGAAGATGACGTTGCTGAGAGGTAATCAATGCCAAACCCCCCCATGGCTAGGAATGAAAAGAGATAAGAATAACTCAAGATGACGTGCTACCAGTGTCAAATGCCCGAAGCCAGGGAAGGATCGCTAAGCAGTGAAGTCCGGACCTCACCTGGCTTATCAGTTTTCCATCGATCTGCAGTTCTCCTGTCCCTGTTATCTGGAGTCCCAATGGGTCCAAAATTGGAGAACGGGACAGAATTATGGTTGTGTGTTGGAGGGGAGCTCGGCAGGCTGCTTGGGTTCGAGGAATGAGGAGATTGGCTGGCTGGTGTTGAATGGTCTATTAAAGAACAGCAATACAGGACATTAAATAGAGGAAGATGCTCCACAGACATCCCAAGAATGAAGGTTTCCTGTAGTTCTGATCCCTTGAATTCTGCTACAAATAACCATACAGCTTTGGGGGAAAGGCAAAACGAAGGCCCCAAAAGGGAGCCTGCCAGATGTGCTGTCTCACTGTACACATCTAAGGCACGCTCCTTGCCTTAAAACAGAACAGCAGACAATTTTTCCAAGTGCACGCACTGTTTTGGTATGCCTGTTTCAGGTAAGTATATACTCGTCTTCTCTGTCAGAAAGAACTGCCTAACCTTAAGAACTACCACTAATTTTTTCTAAAAAGTGCCAACTTTTCCTGCAAAGAACGAGTTATCTACAAATAAAACTAAAAAACAGCTGGAACCCTCTAGATAAAACCCCGTATCTTTCTCCCTTCACAACTCTGCTAGTTAAACAGAGGATGCAGAGCAGCTTTTTTAGTGGCATTTATTATGTGAACCAGCTCATCAGGCATTCCCCCTCTATTTTCTTTCAGAAATTACTTTAAAAACAAACAAAAAAACCCCAAATAGAAATGAACAAAACCCACCAAAGCACCAATATACTTATAATCTCAAAACCACACTCTCCCCTAATCAGTGTCCGTGCACGGGAGGCGTACGGCCTGCGGCGCAGAGACCAGGCAGCACCTGAGCTGGCCGGGAGTGACGGCGACCACGGGGTTCCTTCAAACAGGGAGTACAGCGATGCTTCCTGCGGGGCCGCCGAGGGGCGCGGTTCCGCTTTGGAGCTAGTGGTGAGGCTTTTCCCATACACCTCGTTGAACACGCTGTTATTTGGGTATCTTTCCTGAAAGAAAATAACCACCAAGTTAACAAACTCACACCTAAGAAGGAGATTTAAGAAAACGCAGTGTTCATGCTTATGGATGCTTGATACATCCTCAGCTTTTCTTAGCAAACAAACTTTTAAAGGCTTTTATTTCTGTTTCTTTCAGCTTTCCTATTTAATTCATTTCACCTTTGCTCCTCCCTCGCTCACCCTTTTGCTCTATGTAAACCACCCTGATTAAAAAGTAGGAATAATTTTGGGGCTGAACAACAGAGCCCCCAAGGATTTTCACATTAATGAGAAGTTAAAGGGTTCACACTTATATAACACACAAGTTTCTAGTACACCTTCATCAGAGAGGGGAGGGCTGTGGGAGGGCGGGGAATAAAATCAAATACCTGGAAGATACCAATATACGTAAGAGAAAGAAAAGAGAAAAACAGGCACATTGCAACAGAGCAGGAGAGAAAACACCAGCCCACAATAAAAGCACAAAGCAGGATTTCCCACTGTTTACGCACCTGATTGAGAGAGAATCCGGTGAGGGACAGAAAAGAGGATGAATGTGACATGAGCTCTGAGGGCTTCTCCAATAAGGATTTCTTCACGGTCCCGGAAAAAAAGGTAGTTAAATTATGCCTTCCATTTTCTTCATATTAATTTTAAGACACCATACAACCGAAGTAAAGGACCACAATGTAATAAGCACACTTGTACTCACCTCTCCTGTACAATGTAATGTTCTGAAGATGAAAATGCAAATCTGTTAATACCGTGCCGCCAGCTAATAAGTGCCAGCTGCCACAGGCACGCCAGGGAGAACGCTCCTTGATTGGTGCCTCTAGTCTCGCACAGAGACCCCGGCAGGAAGCAGACACACCTTGGCAACTGGCACTTCTGAGTGTCCACTAGGCAAGAACCTCAGGGATCCCTTTGTCAACAGTTCAGTTCGAAACATTCTCAAAACAAGATGCTGAACTGGTCTGGCACTGTTTTCTATCCAAATTTTTAAAACACTGACATTAATGACTTTAAAGAAGCCTTTAAATCCACTTGACAACGGGTTTCTAAGCAGCTCTACCTGTGGTATGTACTAAATAGTCGCTAAAGTCAACCTCAGCCCTAAGAAAGCGACTAAATTAAAAAAAAAAAGCTGACCCTCTGATGCTCGCTGTTACTGAATAGTTGGTCACAAAGCATTTATTAACACCTGCTACATGCACGGCACTGTCACACGTGACATTACATCATTAACAATGTTAAATACAGGAAGGGCTACAGTCAAGGTTTTTTTTAAAACATGAAAAAAAAAAAACCCCACTAAAAAGCCCCCACTTCCCTCACACCCCTGCCACCCCCAGCTTGTTCTACCACCATCTTCACTTCCAGCGTAAGGGCAAGCACGGCAGGGACGGAGGGATCAGGAAACCAGTGGACAGACAGGCGCCCCCCCAGCCCCTCAAGTCCCCCAGCAAAAAGGTAGCAAGAAAGAAAAGCAGCAAGAAACGCAGAGGCAGCAGGTGGCACCTGGGCTTCCTGCAGTCCCTGGGCGTTTGCGTGTCCAGGGGAGCTTTTATTTTTGCTAATTTGGGGGTGGGGGTGGGAGGTGTCTATGGCCACTCACTCAGTAAAATTTTTTAAGAGAACTTCACGTGCCAGGGACAGCAGCTTCTGTCATGAGAGCCATTAAGCTTTTACTTCTCCTAATACTAAAATCAATGCACTTTAATCTTATGAATGTATTTTTCCCCCTTGTGTTTATGGGGAAAAAACAGCAAAAAGGTGGAATTCAGATTTGTTTTATGATTTATTAAGATGGTGTGAAGGGAGGAGGGAAAAAAAACTCACATCTTTCTTACAGTCCTCTACCTTCGTAAAATAAAACATGTAAACGGTGGCAGACTGGGTTACAGAAGACTATTTTAAAAAGCTACCACTAATCAATTCTCAGACTTCATTTCCTGCCATTCTAGTTATTTGCCTCTGTGCTCACTCATTGACGGTCCTCCGGTGTTTGTAAACAGAATCCTCTTCATTCTCACTCATTCTGTTTATGAATCTGGCTCTGAATTTAGATCAGGGCTCTTAGTTTAACCCAACAGAAAAGAACCACATACTGTTTGGTAAAACCATTCTAGAATCTTTTTATTCAGTAGAACATCTAGAACATTATTTCATTTCATACTCTGAGTACATGAGGAAAAATCTCACTGTTCCTAAGCAAGATTCAATGACACCCGGAGTTCCTGGATCCGGACGGCAGTGCCACCTGAAAGGAGAGCTAGTGCGCCAGCATCACATCGGTGTGTGAGCAGCTCAGCAGGGTGCTTTCTGGGGAACACGCATAACAAAGCTCTGGTTGAGATCTGGGGAAGCTATGGAGTCAGAAATGTTTTGCCATATTCTACCAACACTTGAAGGTTAGTCTGGGCAGTCAGGAAGTAAGTTTTAAAATTCTGTCAAGGAGGAAAGCCCTAGAAAGAAGACACCACCTTTATAAGGACTACAGAATCTCAGAAAAGCAGCTGGGTTAGAGCAAGAAGAAGAATCACGTCAAATACATACAAAGAGGCTTCGTCCAGGAAGGGAGGCGAGAGGCCCCAGCAGAGCTGGGTAAAGATCAGGAGGGTTAGAAAAAATCAGCTCTTCCTCCTCCTCCAAGGCAGCCAGACTCTTTAACAGGTCCGGAGGGAGCAGAGGGGAGCCCTTGGGGTCCTAGTGACAGAAAGGATCACAGTGAGACGCTGTAAGACAAAGGCACAAAGGAGCAGTAGTACGATTAGGGGGATGAAGGCAACTTTAGTCCAGAAGGAAGAAGTGATGAACAGGGAGACAGCATTAAGCAAAGAGGAAGAGGCTCTGAAACCCCAAAGCACAGCGACACAAGGACAATGGCAGAGGACGGCCAAGGCAACAGAAAGCAGCCAGAACAGTGGCAAACACAGAGCAGGACAGGAAAGGGCAACGTGGGCAGTGAGTAAAGCAATGCAGCGGAGCAACGTGATCAGCACACCTTGTGCTAAAAACCAGAGAAACAGCTTTTTTGAAAGTTACAAACACACACCTGTTTCTCACGAATAAAAGGGTCAATAAAAGACAGCTCCACTATCAAACATAACTGGCTGACTTGGTTCCCCTCAGAAAGCAATTTGCTCAAATATGCAGCAAACCTATTTTTAACTTAGATGATTCAGCCTGACTGCAAGGAGCTTTGCCTCAGAATTCTCTAACGCGCTATGTTAGAGACTTCTGCACGCTGTCTCTCTGCCAGACCAGCATCACAGTTCACAGTCAGGAACAGAACTCTCCAGCTGCCCCAAACCAGGCGCGGGGCGCCCCTGTGCAGGAGACCCAGTGCCGCGCTGCGCACCCAGCAGCACTCTGCAGCCTAATGGGTCGGAGCGACCTTTACAGACACCTACTTGAGAGTCAAAAGACACGCAGCCCAGACCTATCTGCGGAGGGCCTGGTGACGGGAAAGGACACACACCTCGAACGGCATCCCGGGCGCAGGGTCCTGCTCTGGACGGAAGGCTCCTGGGGACCGCTTGCCCCTGCGGTCCACGTTCGCTGGCTGCGCCATGACAGCCCTGTTGTCGGCCATGCTGTACGAAGAGTCCCAGTAGAATTCTGGGACCTTGACCTCTGAGGGGTTGTGGTTATATGGCTCCATGGGAAAAGGCTTCATCTTTTTCTCTAGAGGCTGCTGCTGCATTACAGGAGGTTGCAATGACGGCTCAAACAGTTTTATGGGGTCTTGGGTTTGAAGGTAGTAGGGCTGTTTCACAGGCATGATTTTCCCTAACGGGCCTTGAACCTGAGGGGGATTCCACAGCTGTTTGGAGGCATCCGCCTGTTGATACTAAAAAAGAGACGCTTGTCACCAACGCGAGGATGAAACGCAATGCCACTTACACTCAGTGCCCAGGAATCAGTGAGCCTCGGAGGCTTTGCCACCAACAGAGCTCTAGGCAACGCAGTTCCCTTTACCCTTCAGGCTTTCCAATACACAGAGCTTTCTGGGAACAGATTAAGGGCACTAAACTCATATTCTCTTTCAATTTCATTAGTTATGAGCCTTAATAAATGAGCGTGAGTGTGGTGCACGCGCACTTCCCCTGCTGCTTCATGTGCTGTGGGGATGACAATGTTGAAGACTGGTTGAAGACTTAATAATCTCATCAAGATTATGATTCTATTCCCTTTCTTTAGTTTAGCTGTCTAATAGGAGAAATTATTTACAGAAAATCGTTTTCTATAAAGCTGACAAGCAGTAGCATCAAAGAACGGCAGTTAAGATCTATTATCCTTTACAAAAGTGAAACACTTGAACTTCCTCAACCAGCAAAGAGGAGACAAGTATTCCCATAGCCATTACAAGTCTAAGCGGGAAGCAGCTGCATCTTAACCAGCAGTCTTAGTCAACCCAACACTGAGCACGCCCAGCCTCCCTCCCGCCTCTCCTCAGCCGGGCAGCGCGCGAGACTGCACCTTACCTGCTGGAATCCAGAGTGGTGAGGAGGGCTCTTCCCCAAAGCTGGCACAGCTTTTGCAGGGGACTGCTGTTGCTGAGCGAGAGCTTGAACCTGCAACTGGCTTGTGGACTGGGCTGCTGGCTGAGCTGGTAGAGACGTAAGGGGCTGCTGGGCAGGTGGCTGTGGCTGTTGAGGTCCCTGGTTCACTGGCCCTGGTCCGGAGGGCCGTTGCTGGCTGTAAGGAATGTGGGACTGTTTCCCAGCTTGCACCTGGTTTCCTGCTGGAGAGTGAGCTGCAGGCTGAAGAAAGGTTCCTGGGACAGAAACACCAGCTGGGAAGGTGTAACCTGAGCCCATAGAAAATGCCACAGGTGGGGGGATGACATACGTTGGGGGCGGGAACCCTTCAAAAGAGAGTAACACAGCTTTAGTTCTAAGGAAACTTAGCAAAAGAAAGGCAAAAATAAGTCATTTTGGGGTGGGACGGAGAAGAGGTCTTCTAATAACTTATAAAAGGCAGGGGTAAACCATCACATAAGATTGGTCAAGTGTCCATCTTTAACCCGATTTCAAGAATTAAATATAGACTGTTGGCTGCTACTTCCATGCACTGAAGTGACTGGAGTGCACTAAAGGCAGTTTTGTAGATGTCATGTTTAGTGACAAGAATTCTTCATAATAACAAGCCCGCACTTGTACACAGACTAAGAGAAATGGCTCAAAAATGATTCCATAAACATTCAGGAAAAGAGAACTTTCTTCTACCTTTCAACATTACGGTTTAGCAATGTCATTCAGAGTATAAAATTATTCAGTGGGTGAACAGAAACTCCTACACATACTGAATTCAGTAAAAAAAAAAATGACAGAACGTATTATTTACCTGGCCGGCTGGGAAGAGGGGGGAAGGCTCCAGGGTGATGGATGGGGATGAACTGGGAGTTACTTGCTTGACTTGGGGTTTGAGTGACAGGTGTTTTCCTGGCTTCAGACACTGGAGTCTTTCTTAACTCTGTCTGGGACTTTACCTATGACCAACCAGAAGCAAAACTACCTATAATACTCTGAAGCTCGAATGTGTCAAAAAGAAGCACCCACTCTAAGTGTTTAAAACACCATTATGTCAAAAAAAAAAAAAAAGAAAAAGTATATGCTGAAGATATTTAATTTCACCTAAATACAAGATGGGAAAATCAAAACAAATTACTTAATTGCCAATAAAAGATACAATGGCTCAGTTTTACTTATATAATTATTTTGCTTTCACAGAATCATAAAAGTACGAAGCATGGAAAAGACCTGGGAACTCATCTGCTTCACCAATGAGGCACCTGATGCCAACAGTGTAAAAAGCCCGCCTGTGATCCAAAGCCATGCGCTATGGGCCCCAGGACCCGGCGTGCTCTAACTCACTAAGCCATGTGCATGAATCATGGATTAAGAGTGACCACTAGCCCACAGATGAGACACTCTGGCCCTCAGTTTAACTTCACCTGGGCAGCCTTAATGGTCCCAGTCAGACATCCACCTTCCACCCTGCAACTCTACCACCCTTCTGAATAAACGAGGCCAGTTTCAGCAGTAAGGAACAGCCTAAGATCCCACACATGGAGCTGGAGGGGAGCAGACGCCATGTGCACTGCTCAAGTGAAGGTGAGTAAAACAAGGGAAAACAGGCAGCATTTACAGAGAACTCAGGATGAGGTACAGAGGCTGGTGATACACTGACTACTGTCAGGCTTTCCGTAATCGTCACCAGGCAGACCTAAAAGGGATGAGAAACTGGAAAAGAGATTTTATTTTCCACCTGAACATTTTTGGGAGGCAGCTGCAGAGAATGGCGGCCGAGCAGGCAGGAAACGCTGAACTCTTTATCCCGAAAACACTGGTCCTTGGGCTTCACAGTTCTTTGGATTTTTCCCCTTGCCTTTCCCCAGCACCTCTCTCTCTCTCTGTGCCTCCTCTCAGTTTTTGCCATGTTTTTCTCTCTGCTTCTCCCTCTACTATTAATCTTAAAATGGAACTATTATGTTCTTATTTCTCTTTCCTCCCTAAAAACCCTACTATTTATTTGCAAGCAGCCTGCAAAAATGTAAGATTCTTTTGCCTACTGCAAATACATTTGCCAAACTGTGTTAACGAATCAAATGGCTACTTAGGTATTTATGCAAACATTAGTGGTATTAATAAAGCAGTACAGAGTAAAGACCCTTTTCTGTTTATATGAAATCATCTGTATCGCTTTGGAAAGGTATTAAAAAAAAAAAAACAGTCACAAATAACCGAGTAGTGTTTATCTTTTCCTAGCAAGAGACTTGGGCTCTCGCTCTGAGACAAATTCCTATGAGCCCAAACAACACTGAAATCATATGATGCTACTGCTGGCCGGGGACAGGCATAAATGTCAAGGAAAAGAGCGGTAGCTTTTCCCAAAAATGTAATTTATTTTGTATAGTGGATCTGAAAAAACCAAAAACAACAACAATCTGTGTGCAAGCCGTAACACACTCGTCCTGTGGGCTGCGAAAGACCCCACGCTTCCCAGGGCAGCACCATCAAACGGCAGTTACGCCTTCCAGAGGAAATGTCTCTCTCTGTGGAGCTGACGGCTCTGCACCGGGTCACTTCCAGCCACCTCAACTAAAGAGAACTGACAAAAATGTCAAAGTAGGTTGAGAGTTTTGCACTCCCATTACAATTCCTGAGAGGTGGCGGAGTTCGCATCTCCCACAGCCCTTGACGTGGCTCTACTGTGCAGCCTTTGGAGAATGCATTCAAGCTCCCAGAGCAGCCAGTTCGCAAGGCTTCAGGAACAAGATGCAAACTCTCGCCTTCTGTGTGAGCCTTCCTCTACCTGCTTCGCAGCTCAAACACAGCTTACCTGCACTGCCACATTCTGCTTTCCTGTTTCCTGTAACTTTTCTAAGGTGCATTTCTTGCTTTCTGTTTTCCTCTTGTTGTTGTCTTTCATTCCATCACTCTTAGTTACAGTTACTCCTTTGCTACAGTCCCTTCTCACCTCTTTGGGAGGAAAGCTTCTTCCTTGGTCTCTGTTCACTTCTCGTGGCTTGATGTTCTCTTTGAAGGTGACCATGGGCTTCTCTGCTGGGTCACAGCTGCTGCTTACACTCCGGCCCGTAGACAGCACTGACTTCAGCCCCGGGTTCCCGTCCGCAGCTAATGACTCTATCACGGACGTTTCTTGCAGAATGAGGTTCTCTTTGGCTTCACTGGGGTCTTCCAGTATTAACTCTGGGATTTCTGTGATAAATAACAATTTCCCTACCTCATTTTCACACTGAATCAGCCTAAAAAAGTAAAAATAAATCCATATATGAAAAACATAAATCTAAGAAACAGTAACAACTGAACTGTGTATGGGTCCCACAGCCAATACATTCCCAGCCTAAAAACGTCGGAAACAGCGGGATGTAACAGTGCGGATTCAGCTGACAAAAAGGAGTTACGGAGAAACTCAGACTCACTGTCCCACTTAACATTACCACAACATACTCCCATGACCTCTTGATGTTTCCTAAAAATTACAACCACATTTACTGAGCATGTCTGAAGCACAAGACACGAGACTAGACACCTGAAGTAGCTAGGAGTCTGCAGGTGTGAATCCCGAAGCTCAGAGGTATTAAGTCCACCCAATATACAACCATGTAAGCGCTTACAGAAATGTTACTGACGCTGGAAAGGTTATAATCAACTGGATACACACCTGGGTAAGAGGCAGAGCCAGACACTGAACTCAAACCTATCTGACTCTAAAACCTCTGCCTTTCCATTACATCAACAGCCACACCTGCTCTGTATTTAACTGGCCACTAGCACCATCCTGGTCTGTCTGGACTGAAACTGACCACAGTGCCCCCGTCAACACAAATCACTGTAACTATGAACGCGCAGTGTAGCTAGCCTGACGTAGATGTTTATACATCAGAGCAGACGCTCCTGATGCTCAAGGGAGACAAGGCCAGTGCCTCTACAACAGGCAGTGTAATGGAGAGAACGGAGGTGAGAGATACTACGATCACTAGGGACAGAATCTGATGCTGTGTTACTGACATTCTGATGAAAGAGTTTATAATCAACAGCATCACATCAAAGCCTTACGCCCACGTGGGTGGTGCGTGTGTGTCGGGCGAGGGCTACCTCGGCTGATTGTCTGCGATCCATTTGCCTATGGAGATCAAACGCTGCTGCCGAATCTGCCGCTGCTGGCCCTCTTTGTCTCCTGTGATACCCTGGTGGCCTTTGGAAAAATCCAAGTTCCTGAAATTGAGAAAAGCAAATTACAGAAAATTAAACTGCTAAAGTTATTTTCCAGGCAACCAAGTTCACCTAATTAATTGTGATGGCTTCAGATTTTCCCATATAGGCCAGCCATTTGAGGCAATCAGTTGCATTTTTCAGAATTTATACTCCCAAAGATTTTAAATGCAATAAAACAATGCGGAAAAGACAGTATTAAAATTCACTACATGAATGTGTTATTTTTTACTTGTACTTCAGTTTCTAATTAAGGTGCTCAAGTCACAACCGTTTGTTAGGGAAGATTCTTTTATTATAAGAATAAATGTTTCATTAGTACTTACCTTGCATTCTAAGTAATTTACTTCAAATGACCATGGCAATGCTAAGGGTCTCTGAGATGCCTATTCTAACAAATAACATTAAGTCACCCATGCTCCTGTGGCCCAATCGAAATTGGAAAAATGCATAAATATCACAAGGTATATAGAGCAGAAGACTCACTGACATTAGAAAGTCAACCCAAAAAATTTTTCAGATTTCTCATTAAACTATCTGTTTAAAACAAAACAAAAAAAAAGCATCCAGGAACTGCTAGGCAGTAGGCCAGGTGCTGAGGACACAGAGATGAATGAGGAATAGGCCCTATTTCAAGGAACAAATAGCTATGATTTAATCTGAAGAAATAAAAACTATGCAAAGAATAGGAGAAGCATAATAAAGAAGGGCTAGTTTCTTCTGATAAGCCTTTAAGTTTCACAGGAAGTGATACCTGAGCTTGGATAGGTAAGGGCAAGCGCTTATAGGTTGGTTAGGGAAGGGCAGAAGAGGAAACAGGAGTGCTCTAGGCTTAGCAGAACAAAGTTCTGGAGGAATAAAAATAGAGAGCTATTCAAGAATGGACAGAGAGTATGTATGCAGTATGTGTAGTACGGGGGAGGGGGAGCAGGGAGAGGGGGTGACAGTGGCAGAAACCGTGGCTGAAAAACTAACCTTCTGGACATTAAGCCAAAAAAGACACTGTAACAACTGAGGGTGAGTAAACTGAACTTTTTATATTAGTAATGGGACATCATCAAGTCTAAACTCTGAAAATACAACTGTGGAAGCAGAGCAGGGCTACACAAGGAGAGGAACTTTAAGTGGCGTGGCTGATTAGGAAGCTTTTTGGTTTTTAAGTGTAAAGGTTTTTTTTTTTATTGTGTAACATAAGCAAAATTATTTAAGTTAATAAATCTTTAAAGAACTTCACATGTTCTGATTCCTTCCACTGCCCATCACCCTCGCTGCTCCAATGTGTGAGTCGTAATCTTCAGGATAGCCCTTCCAAAAAGAACTTTTGCTCAGTCAAGTTGTCATGTCAGTCAGTCCATGATTCTTTTAGTTGGGCTTCTCTGATCTCCAGTGGAACACGGACACACTTCAAAAGCTCCTCACCTCTAATCTTTGGGATCCAGTTTCCTCAGGCAATTTACTTTAGGAGTATTACGTATTTGGGGTTGGGGAAGACGGATCTCCCTGGTTCTGAGTTCTAGACACTCTTTAAGCAAGCCTCAAGTTTACAGTGTATTTACTCCTAAACTTATCACACCCTGGAACAGGACTGATCGCTGGGGTACGCCAACACCGACGGTAAAAAGCGCGACCGTCAGGTTTTTCAGTTTATCTAGCAGCTCTGTCTCGTAGTCCTTTCCCACAGATCTATCATGCAGTTCCGTGAGTAAGGGAAACCACACAGCCACTCTGTGAGGCAGTTCCCACAACGCAGGTCTATGGAAAAAGCCCCATCGGGATAGACCTCAACCAGGAAGCTTTTTTAAACTCTAGGTAAGTGGTGACAGAAGCCACCTACCTGAAAGAAGGTCTCAAAGCCAAGAATCCTTGTAACTCAAACTCCTCTGGAAGTGGTGTAGCTAGAGAAGGGTAGAAATCAAACTCTGTGAACATTTTAATTAAAATATTGCTGTTCAGTAGAACACTGCTTCCTAAATTAAAAATTTTTTTCTATATAGAAGAAAAACTACAATGTTCATAGCTCTGTGCTCTTCTTTACAGTACCCTGGTCAAACAGCTTACCTGCCCAGCCCCTGCATGCTGCCTTTGGGCCCTAAACAGGGCCCATACCCGCCAGTGCTCAATGCTGGGGACAACGGGTATGATGGACTTGCCCTCCTCTGCAGGCTTAAAAATCCACAGCCTCAGACCCAATCATCACAACGTTTAGACCATCTCCTTGTTAACTCAAGTTTTAAATATCAACACTGACATCACCTGGGAGCTTGTCATAAATGCAGAATCTCCGGCATTATCCTAAACCTACTGAATCATAAACTGCATTTGAACAAGATCCCAGGTGATTCATTTGCAAATCTGATGCTTGAGGGGCACTGATCTAATGGAAGAAGAATCATCAGAAAGGAGTCAACTACAGCCTGTTCAGTGCAGGATTATTTATACTGGGGAAAAATTTTTGGCAAACAGACAATGATTAAATAAATTATGGCATATCCACAGGATGGAATATTAAGCAGTCTGTAAAAACTATGTTTCAAAATGCAAAGGAAAATGCTAACAATATAACGTTAAACTTAAAAAGCAGGCACAAAGCTGTATGATACCAATCAATGCAGGTATGTGTGTGTACACACAGGTGAAAGTCTTAAAGAAAATACACTACCATGTGAACAGCATACAAAATACTTCTGCATGAGGGAACTAAGGGTGATGCGTTCTTTATATTTTATGTCCCAAATGTTCTATGGTAAGTACTACTTTGACAGAGTAATGTTGTTTATATTAGTTCTTTAAAAAAAAAAGTACAAATGAGGAGGAGGAGACGACGGAAAGCACTTGAAGGCACTGCCCTCTCTGGACTCCTATTCAAATGCAGCGACACAGAGAGCAAGCTGCTGAAAGAACAGAGCAGCCTCAGCTCCCTCTGTCTCCACATACTGAACCAATGCAGAGTTCAAAGTCGCTTCTGAGACACTGAATTTAAAGTCAAACACTTAAGGACAAAACCTGGTTTTCCCCGGCCTTACGCCCACCGTGTGTGCTGGCGAACCACGTGAGCAACACAAGGTCAGGGCAACCCTCACCGTTAGTGCTTGAAAGATCCTCTTCATGGGGGTGGAAGCTGTTCAGAAGAGAAATCAGCCAGGGCCAAATGCTGCAAATTAAATAGTTCAGACTTTACTTTTGCATAAGAGAAACCAGAACACTAAGAAGCCATGAAAATGCCACCTGAGGGGCCTAGACTTTATGAATCTTCCCCTTGCGTCAGCATTTTAAAGGCTGTATGGTTTCCTAACACGTATTTCCAAATATGTCCATGTAAAAGGTACACCAGCAGGGCCAAGTTCCTGATAGGGACCTACTGCTGCGCGTCATTTCCCAGGCTAATTTAACAGGTAGCAAAATTAATTCATCAGTCCTACACATTGAAAATTGGTATTTACTGAGAAAACTGACCAGAGAGACAGCGTATTATGCTTTTGCACTTTTCACGTATATTATCAGTTGTGGAGCCTGTTACTAGTTCTTAATCTGTGATGGGGGTTGGGGGGGTGGTTACATTATAGCCAAATCACATTCTCTGTTCAAAGTGATGAACATGCCTTTGATGTTAAAAAATCCACACATTGTTATAATAGCCTTCTCTCTAAGCTCTGGTTCCTAATACAAAATTTTTGCAAAAGTTTGCAAAATATTACACAATATTTCAAGTATTTAATTAAAATGTTAGAAATAATCACAATCTACTTCAGGTAATACTAAGGTTTTCTTGGAAATATGTAACAACCAATGTTGGTGAAAAGTGTGGTTAAAAAAAGAGCCCAGGGTGAGGTGCCCGGGATAGAGAAACTGGGTGTAAATAATCACATCACAGAAAAAAACTGGAGGTTGACAACTATTTCTGACAATTGTACACTTTGAAATATGGGAACATGCTACTTAAAAAATATAAATGAAATATACAGAAAAAAGTATAAGGAAGTAAACAGTGAAGAATAAACACTATGAGCCTTTCAGGGATGCAACAAATTAGGAGACAGCTGGAAAAGAAGATTAATAACAATGTTGGACTAGAACAACCATGTCCATATGCAACAAATATGAGATCTCAAGAAGCAGACTGCAGAAGAGTGTGAGAAATGACTTAATGATACCGCTTTACCCTACTCTGGGTTACTTAATCTAACTTTGCTTTCTACAAAGGACAAAAATACATCACTATTTCACAAATTTATTACCTTAAGATAACGTGTTCTTAGAAAAGTACAGGAGAAAACAAATTCTAGAACTTGAAAAGGTCCGAAAGCAAGAAACTGAAGGTTATTTGAATATGTATAACATTTTGAGTTCACAAAGGGAAGAGGAATAGTTTTTTCATTATTTAAAAGATATAAATGACAATTATTAACCTTGATGTATCAGACACATAAAGAAAATCTCCAGTTTTAAAGAAATACTCCACACTAGTCTAAAATGAGTAGTAACACAATTGAAGATGGAATGAAATACCTGCAAGGTATTCATTATATTATAATTCTAAAGATCCTAACAAATCTGAGAGAAAGAAGGGGGAAGCGTAAATGACAGGGAACAAAAAGGAATAAAGTTTGTAAAAAGGTATTCCTTCTGTCTGAATGAATATCCTTCGCAATGATAAGAAATGGGAATGCACAGAGTGGGCCTAAAAGATAATTGTGCAGGAACAAAAACCCAAATAAAAATATCAATGCTTCTTTCATAGCATTACTGATACAACTTACTGAACCAAACACAAGTTCTAAAGTACACATAGGAAGGAAAAATGTACAGCCTCTGGTCAAGAAGTGAAAATTCTGTGCAAGAAAGCAATGTCTAAAATTATGCATTACTCACCGATAGCTACACATTGGCACAAAAAGGAGCTGTGTAGCGTGCTGTGCTATGTTGCTGAGCCCTATTCAGGACGATGTCAAAAATGAAGGCACTTCAAGTTAGGTTTGAGGGAAAAAGAGGAGAGAGAGGTGTGAAGTAAGAGGGACCCCAGGGTCTTAAATGTGGCCAGGACAGTTTCTAGGCTGCGACCTCAGTCAGTGTGTGGACGCTGGGCCACAGAGCAGGAATTTCAGAGGCTCTCCTTACACCCACCAGCAGCACACGCAGGGGAGGAACTTTCTGCTCACTGCAAAGCCTTCCTGGAAATTTTTATTTCTGTAAGCAAAGGTAAACTGAAAGCTTTCACTTGTCACTACAGAATGAGTAGTTCCTACGAACTGTCAGAACTGTTCTGAGCAGAGATGGTGAGAGCCAAGATAACTTCCAATCTTCAATGCTTAAAACAAATATAACTCAAATCAGGTGTTACTAAAAGGCAGCTTACGTATCTACACAGCTTACATACAGAAAATAGCGGAAGAAGTAAAAATCTCTTTCCTTCAACTCCTAAACAGAAAAGGGACATAACGTAATGAATGAGAAACAAAATGGTTTTATTTCAATTTCATTTTGAAATATGAAAAATGCCTTTTCCCCAGGATGTCAAACAGGAACAGGGGGAGCAAACAGGGAGGGATCCTTATGACTGTGCCTCACGTGAAAAATTCAAACAAATGAATGAAAAGCATACAAAGAAGTCTTCAGTTCAATTTCCAAAAAGTTAGGTGGAAAATACAGTCTTCCATTGTTCCAATACTGTGTTTTAGAAGGTCGTTTCTACGTTATCTATGAAATCAAACGAAGCACACAAGCTAACGTGAAACGCCAAGACACTTACTACTGTCTTTCATCCACCACCGCCTCCTGGAAGACCCTGGGCCTGAGCCTCAGCCAGTCCATGGAGACCTTCACTGCAGGGAGGGGGTAGGCGTTGTAGGACTCCTCCTGAGACTTGTTCTGGAGAGGACATTTGCACAGGATGCCAAGAAAAGACACTTAAAGAGAAAACGTGTTTAGAAAGTGTAAGATATCTGAAATTGTGTACTAGTCCAAATTACAATATTATTATGAACCTTCTGCAAATGCTACTTAACACTTAAATATCTTGCAGCTCCTTTCTAAAAAGGTACTTTCTCTCCCATGTTAAAAATGTTACAGATACAGTTGATGAGGGGGGGTCAGTATGTAAAAAGACAGGAGTTAGAGTTTAGGCCTTCTGATTCAAGATTAAGAAATATAGGACACTTTGTAATGTTACTAATGCTTTATTACAATGATGAAAACGCCCAAGATTATGCTTTCCAAAGAAGACGGCACAGGAAGTTAAACGATTTAATACTCACTAAAGAGGGCTAGCAACTGTGTCCAACACAGCTGCTCATCTTGGCTATAACTATGCTGTTCCGTTTCGTTGCTAAAGTCACGAAGGTGATGAAGTTGAAACAGGTTAATGACAGTGACGTGAACTAACTGCTGAGAGTTGAAAGCTTTTTGGAATAGCAGCCTCTGCAAAAGAAGACAGGAACACTGCTATATTATCAAGAACAGAAGCCACCTTCAACACAAGATTACACCGGCAGTCTGCATTTAGAGTCCACACTATTTTAATGAGTCTGATGTGGTCTGATGTTTCTCATGCTGCCTTTTTTTACCTCGAAAGGGTTTAACTCAGACACCACAGAGCTGTTTGAGCTCTTTTCATTATACTTTTTTCCACAAGAAATGATATATCTTTCAAAATGATCTGAGAAAAAATGTTTTGGGAGACCATCAAATATTTATACATCTTAATCCGTTAGAAGCTGTTTTATAGGAGATGCAAACATACTAAAATATTAAACTGGAACCAATGAGTAGAAAATAGATGCACACACTAAGAAACAAAATTTCAAACAAAAAGACTCAAAAAAATACATTTTTGAACTCTTGATACATAACAGATGGCTTCCAAAATTTGTCATAAAATTTACTCTTTCAAAGGCTTGATGCATTTAAAGAAACTTATTTATAAATGGGAGATAAAGCAAGAATGTATCTGGAATACAGGGTAAATGATATACCAAAGCAATCATTAACGTGTCCTAGGCACTTCTACAAATCGTTATGCTGATGTTTCCCCGATTGGAGAAGCATGGTCTTCATTACGGAGCTTCCCCTGACTCAGTAACTGTGGGGTCAAGGGACCCGCTAACTGGCACTCCGAGGAAAACCTCATCCACGTGCTCTCCGCTGCTGCTCTCACCTCAACCATGCCGCCACCTCAGTGTTTGCAGCAGTTCAGGTCACTCCATGTGACATGCTTTTCAAACACAAGCCCCTAACAAAGTTGACAGCTACTAGAGATGAATGATATCCTGGCTTCAGCCTACACTTTAGCCGTAGCCAACTACTCTCCCTCCCCAGGGAAGATTTTTGGAGAAAGTGGGGATTCACTGTCACTAGCCTGATGGTGGGAAATAGAGAATGTTACTTACAGTTCTATCAACAGTGACAAGAGATCCCACCACCTCAGAAATTTATAGCTGCCTTTGTTCATCCTGTTCTGAGATTTTTTTCTATTTGCACTGTTAAAGAATCTGAAATATTCAAAGTTCTGTCATTCTATTAATGGCATCATCACTGGAGAAATAGAAATCCACTCCACTTCATTCTCCCCGTCCTCTCTCTTCCGTCTCCTCGCCATTCCAGGCTATACGTCAAGAATGCTTACTCCTTTCCTAAAGGCATCAAGCATTTTTCTCTGTTACTCCAAATGTTCCAAAATGCTCTCTCTTCTCCAGAGTTCTGCCACAAAACTTCTCCTTCATCCAACTTCTACATCTAACCTTCTAGATAAGCTGATCATTTACACAAATGCATAATACTAGCATAAAATGAGAATACTAATTTGTATTTTTCAAAAAGCATTTTTCTCGTAAGTACAATTTACAGCAACGTACCCCTTGTATCTACAAAACCACTAGCCTTTGTTTTAGAGGGCAACGCCCTACAGAGCAGAACCACTACCCTTTAAAAATGTTTCTAGCGCAGGCACAGCGACAGGACAGCACGTGCACGCAGCCTAGTAGTACCAGCAAACGGTAGCAGCGGCTCAGGCTCAGGGAGGCGCAGACTTTGTCCTGTTCTCCCCTGTATCTCGGAGGGCTTAGAGAAGCGCCCAGTACACAGCAGGCGCTCACTCAGTGAAGGAATAACCCACACTTCTAGGAGTAAATGTGTAATTATTCAGTTGTAATTTGTAAAATTTAGATTGTATTTTAGTAAACAGAGGGGCTCCCTGGGAACAAAATCGGACCGGAACTGACTTTTTGTTACTCAAAGACACTTTCAGCAGTGGATTGAGGAATATACTGAACTAAATACCATTAAGAAACAGGACACATTTAACAGATATAAAGTCTTATATCTCAGTTCCTAAACCCCAGGCCTTAAGCCCTTCCATGAATCTCAATTTGATATACATTTCTGCTTAGCAGCGACAAGACTACTAGTGAGACAGGCACACTGACATTCACATGTGGATAATATGAATTATCTCTAAATGCTTCAGAAATACTCACTCAACTGTGCTAAAATTTCATTCTGACAATGTTCTTCTGATATTTCAGTACTGAGTAAGGTTTAAAATAGATCTGCCTCATGCTATGTTTAACTTCAGAGCGTTGGAATGATACTTCAAAGTGTATTTTAGCAATTGCCCACATATACCCACTGAACTTCACATTCAGAAATATGTATCCGAAGAGAATATTAGTGTTTGAGGTTGAACCAAATACAAAACTGACTACATTTTAGACTAGGATAATTTATACAGAGAAAACCTCATTAAGGTAGGATCCCGCCCCTCAGCCCCACTTTACAGAGTATCTTTCATAGAACCAGAGCTGGAAGCAATCTCAAAACGCCATCTGGTCCAATCCCCCCGCTATTTAATGGGACTGCACATAAACCATCCAAGAAAGATGGCTGTCAGTCTGACTTTTAAGCTCTCAAAAGAGAGACCCCTCAGCAGCTATACGGATCTCTATTTAAATTTAAAGATTTTATTTCTGACTTCAGGAAGACAGAGATGTGTTTTTACATATATATAACAAGTTTCACATATCCCTAATATATACATATATGAAAACATATAATGAAACTATTCAGACACGTTTGTTCTCTCTAGGCTGGGTTTTAAAAAGTTAGCTGTTTCCTTCATAACCCAACTCTATAAATCTTGGGCTAAGTTTAAATAGGTCACTAAAAGAAGCGGAGAACAGCAGGGGACTCTAGGAGTTTACTTTAAAACAAACTATTTCTATTACAGTTATTCAGTATAATCTCTTACACACAAAAAGTATCAACTAAAAAAATGATTATCTGTTAAAAGCTATTTCACAACGACTATATCTGGCTAACTTATTGTCTCTTAAGTGTCTAAGTTCTACAGTCTCTGGAATGTGAAACTTCTGTAATACTTATAAAGCTCCAAAGCAGTGACAGACAATGCCCCAAGTGTGCAGACACCCAGAAGTAACCAGGAAATACAAAATGTTGTTGGAGACTGTCTTATCCACCGTTGACTAAAACAGTGACTAAACAGTGACTAAAACAGTGACTGACACATACTATTCAAATATTTGTTGAATAAGAGAACAAAAAATAAAGTTAATACTTAATTTTGACTCCTCCAGTATTATATATACTATACATTTAAACTGTTAATATACTAATAAAAGATTATTTTCATATATAGGAACAGAACAAAAGTCACTTAATTTTATTTTCTTATACAAATTAGTGGAATCTATTCCCATTACGTTCCGCTGAACACCCACAGACCCTGATGGACCCAAGCCCAGGAAGAACGAGCTCGGTCTGCAGAATGGAAACACGACCTACAGGGCAAATGCCAGAGTCTCGCCTAAACAGAGAAAGCATCAAAAGCAGGGCTTCCAAAACAGAGAAGAGAAAGCGCTTGGTCTGAGAAGGACCGCGGAGGAGTTCTTCTTTCCCTTTATGATATTTTCTCCCAAATGCCAGCTACCAGGTGAAAACACTGCTGCTGTATTTCTTTATGCAGACAGCACCCTCAGTTTTAACTGACGGAATGCTATATGCAAGAATTTCTTATGTTTCAAATTTACTTTTTACCAACAGTTCACAGTTAAGTAATGACATAAAAACTGGGAGTAAGCCTCCTCCAAATCTTATGCTTCTTCATTAGACAAGACAAAAAAATTCTCTATTTAAAAAGTCTAACCTTAAACTGTTCTTCCAATTTCTCTCGAAGAGGGCTCAACTTTTCCAAGCTCTTACTCAGGTACACATGACCGTGGAATTTAATAAAGGCCTTGATGAAGTCAGAAACACCCCATTTGGTTTTCACCTCATCCCGGCTGAAATGAAAGAAAAACGTCCATGAATCTTGAGCAGAACGGCCAGAACCTCTTACAGGAGGGCTTCTCGGACAAAAGCACATGATTGGAGCACCTGATCCCCAAAGGCAGCCAGCTGACTAACTTTCTGACTCAACACACTCGGTGAGTCAGTACCGCACAGCCTACGCTCCTGCGCTGGGAACAGAGCAGGGGCCGGCTGGCTGAACCCAGGGAGAACGATGTGCAAAACTACTACACAGGTTCAGAAACTGGGCAAATGTAAGAGAAGAGATGCACAGGGAACCATCTGTTGCTTGTTTGCCCACTTTTGAGAGGGCAAGGCCACCAGGTTACAAAACTCTCTCGGAAAAGGCAACCGTATACCTTTCCAGTGCTTTAGAAAGTGCTTTCTGTAGATTAGTCGAGGCAGCTGGGAAAGGGAACTTCACAGCGATGCTTCTGCAGTAGTAGAAAATGGTGGTCAGATGGTCTCCTTTGGAGGAAGCTAAGATAGCCAACTGATTGTAAGGCTGACCTGGAGGAGAAAGTTAAGATTCCAAAGTAACACAAGATGCACGAAGTCTTGCTATCAGCATACAGAAGATCAGCTTTCAAACCTTTATATGAATGAGGAGTATTTTATAAAATAAATCTCATGACTACCTCATCACAAATGGGCATAACGTAAAGCAGCAGACTTCAGTGATGGTACATCTTATGTTTAGGTTCAGAAGTCACACGATTCGGGTGGAGAGCACTGTAAGTTCAAGTAAGACTTCAGAAAGGGCTAGGCAGTAAATATTTTTGGCTTTGTAGGCCAACGTTGTCTCCATCACAACTACTCAACTCTGCCACTGCAGTGGGAAAGAGCCACAGACAACAGGAAATGCAAGTGTGTCCGACTGCCATCCCCTGCTTGAGACTCTTGAAAGCGGCTCTTTCAGAATTTAAAGGAATTTCAACATGGTTTAACAAGAATGTACATCACCAAACATCTGCTGTAGTTTAATTCAAGAACCACTGCTAACACCTGTTTTGGGAGCCATCAAAAGATAAAAAGACTATCTTTTAGGTAATAAGAGATAATACTTTTTCTAGGAGGGAAATAATGGTATTAAAGAGAAAATTATTCTATAAGTAATTAAGGAAGCCAGAGTTGTTGAAACAATTTTAGATCACAGTAGGGGATATTCTGTTTACACTGTTTTACTGACAACAGCACTATTACTTTAAAATTTCTTTTCAGCTATATAGAATACATAGTTAAAAGAAAAAAAAATCAATACCAAAACTCAACATCTTTTGGCTCCATAAAACTAGAAAGATAAGCCTTGAACTAGTCTCTGTATTTCTATCAAGGACAAAGTGTCACTGTCAACCGCAAGTTGACATGGGAGGCCCACTCACCATTAGAGGGGACAAGCTGAGCTGCATGTCGATAGTAGGACTCTGCCTGGCTGGTCTGGTTTCTGTATCGAGCTGAGAGGGGGAAAAAGAAAGTTTAGTTTAAAAACAAACAAGCAAGCAAGCAAACAGATAAAACAGCCAGCAGGGTAATTTTTCCAAAACAGCTATAGTTTTAAGTTTTAAAGTTAATAAACACATTGAAGTTAATTTAAGATGATTAAGACAGGATATATCTTAAAACAAATTAACTATAGGATTATGTGTGAAGTGTCCCTCCAGCTTTCCCTATTTGGGACATTCAGCATGTAACCAATTTTAAAGCTTACCTAGCCCCCATTTTCAGGTCCTCCAGTGTCATGCATCACCAGCTCCCACTATGGACTATGCTGGTGACCTGGAGCCGGCCCACAAGAAGGGGTGAGTTATATGGCACTTCAAAACAAAACAAAACAAAAAACACTATACAAGATGATCTGAAATTTATGTATTTCTTCAATATCTTATAAAGTGATTTTGAAAAACGCCTTATACATATTACAATATTAATCATGTATGTGTGCAAAGAATACACTGAAAGCAAAAACCACCTAAATAAACTATTCACTGAATTGCCTTGCAGAACTTGGTGCTTACTTTGATGTGACCTCTCATGGAGTCAATGACTTCTGACACCAAGAAATCTAAAATCTTTGAACTTTAAAACAGTAATGTTCTCCACTCCTCGTTACTTGGGGACAGTCAAAACATAATCCTATAGTTAATTTGTTTTATAACCCTTTAGGTCACCTTAGAGGAATGAACAAGAAATAAGTAAGTTATATAACATTCGCAGATAAAATCTATAAAATGGAAGTACAACTTTAACTGTAAAAAGGGAACAGTTAAAAATGAACTTTTAATGCACTCGTAGGAAGGAAAGAAGGCAATCTAGTTTCAGAAGGAGTACTTTTTATAAACCCTACCATTCCAAAAGAGTACAGATTCAATTCAGAAAATATTATGACACCACTTTGAAAAATTTAGCTTTGATTACATTTTTGCTGTTTATTACTTGCCTATATCTGCATAAAGTTTGAATAAAATTTAAATCTTAATATGAAAGTTACTTCCTTAAAGATCTTTTGCCAATCACAAAACATTGAGAAAATCTAAGTTCCTTAAAATACATTTTACAGGTTTCCTCTTATGACAATCTAAGTTATGTGTGGATGGTCAGCTCAAAGTGACTACTGCAAAGAAAAGCATGAATATATTATCAATCCCTTCACACTAAAGGCTCACCAATGTCTCCGAGGTGGACGAGGCAGTGCTGGCAGATGTAGGAACAGGAGCTGGACTGTGGCTTCACAATGGCGCTGGTGTGCGTCTGTTTATTGCTGATAATCCCCAGCTGGGAAGACTTCACACGGCATGGTAAATCTACGTTAAACACTGTACACAGTTCTTGTAATAACTAAAAGGCAAACACGAGCAAGCTTTAGTATTAAGTCAGAACTGGTAAGTCAGGTGCGCCAACAGGGAAGTCTGTATACGTTAATGTGTGTAGCTAGTATGCACACTGCTGAGACTGGACAGAGAGGGGAGCCTTTCATAGGATACCTAGTGACAGTCATTACAAATCATATCTTTTGATTTCTGAAGTATTAGAACAATCTAGGATACACATCTAAAAGGAATAGCGTTAAAAAAAAAGACTACCTGAACAGGGTATTCAGACTCACTCAGCATGCAACTCCATGAAATTTATCTATGTATCTATCGATCTAGAAACACAAAAACCATTAAAGTTGGTTGGCTACAAACTGACTGAAGTGCAAACCCACACATTTGTTAGACAGCAGGAGTTTCACGTGCTCTGTTTTCTTAAGCCTGAGGTCAACCTGTGCCTTTGCATACAAAAAGATCTCATGTATTACAGACCTGGAAGGGGCTTCTGAGGTTATGTGGGCCACTGCTCTTTCCTCCTTTCTTCTCTGTTCTGCAGTATGAGGGGGTTCCTCTCCCTGGTGAGAGTGAACGTCTCTGCCTGAGCATGCCTATTTCATTCTTTTCTGCCTCCTGCCTGTCATCCCCTCATTTTTTAAATCTACTTTCAAATTCTCATGACTATTTGCTGTGGCCTATCAAGTGTTGTCCACAGAAAAACAGTAATAATAATAACAATAACTATTATTATAAAAAACAAAACAAAACCACCAAAGCACCCTCCCTTGTCCCTAGATTTCTCCTCTAGCAACCTTCTAACGTCTCCTCCTCTTCTCAGCCAAACTCCTTCAAAGGAGGCACATGTCTCACATCTGCTTTCTCAATCCCTCCTCACTCCTTGATCCATCATGGTCTGGCCACTCCACAACCCCTGCTCCTCTCCCAGCCCACCATCCACCACTCCACTGAAACTGTGGTAAATACGACAAAGGGTTAGCAACAGCAAACACAATGGACATTTTCCAGTCATCATTGTACTGGACTTCTGCTACATTTAGAACAGCTGATCTTATGGTTGATAACCGAGCTTCTCTAGATCTTTGTATCTTGCCAAACATTTCAGTGTTCTTCAAGGGCTTTTCTCTCCCCACCCCGCTCCACCCTCAATGGGTGTCATTCCTGGGCCCCACACAGTTCTTCATGCTCCGTTCTTACTCATTCAAATATTTACTCATAAATACATTATATCTGGTTATTATAGCACCCACCATGGTAAGTGACAGAGAGAGACGAATAAGAAAACCTGTGTTCTTACAGAACGCACAGCCAAATGAGCAAGACAGGCACATAAAGCAGTGGGCAAGAGAAGGATGGAGGGAGGAGGGTGGGGAGAGATATCAGCCAGGATGGCATAAGCCCACAGAACACTCTACATTTAAAATAAACTTCATTCCCTAGGTCACTTGATACACATGTCTTACTTTATCCTTGAGATAAAACTAGTAGCAATACAGTATGTAGGCATGAAGCTCCACTTTTTCAGATAAGGCTAAGAAAAGTGACAGAGATAGCAAGTGTAATAAGGTTACAGAATTAGAAATACATTGATTCTATCACCACTCTGCCATATGCAAAATTCACAATACAAAATAAGACACCCTCAGGACCCAACTCAGAAGGATATGAAAGGTCCCCTTTTTCCTAAAATAATAACCACCTCCATAATCGAATATAAAATCTGTACTCCCTTCGCACGACACGCAGGAATTACCTGCATCTTCACTTAGACCTGTACATTTGGAACGAGCAGGAAATTTTCTGACTTAAAACTGAGCAAACAAAATTAGTGCCCAGAGTGGCTAGAGTCTAGAAATACAAAAAGCAAGAAGTACAAGAAAGGAACAAAAAATAGGAAAAAAAAACCCCACGAATAGATGACTGTGGAAGATGGCAAGAAGAAACATGCCAGAAAATAAAGAATTAAGTTCGGCAGGTGCTGAAAGAACAGACTGGAAAACGAGGCAAGGCTGAGTGTCTACCAAGAAGAAAAAAGAACGTTCACGAAAAGTAAGTCACACATGGCTGGAAACTCATGTGACTGTCTTACGGTTGAGTTTCTGCCTGAACCCAGGAATTGCGGGCATACCAGGAAGTTCCTGCTGGTTCAAGGATTCTGGGTGAGAGAGCACCGGTGAGCTTGGGGGCAGAAACAAGGTGGAACTAAGGAGGAGAAACAGATGTCTAATACGTTGAGGAAAACCAGATGGCAGTTACTCTGTGAAAACTCCGCTCCAGGGCTCCTTAGCGCTTCACTCTACACGAAGCATGGAAAACCGACTATAAACATACAATCACCTTTTAACTGTCCACTACAGAAACGTAATGCTATCTTCTTTGGTTCCCATTTTCTTAGAATAAGGACTATTGTTCTGTTCTTCGATGTTTTAAAAAAAACAACCCTACAAGCATAATGTTACATTCTTACATTGACTAGGAATTTGGTTCTGGCTTGAGGGACCATGCTTTAAATAGTTAAACAAAATGATATCTAAGTCAGGATCATCTTCGCAGAAAATATGACAGAGGATAATCGTGCATCAGCCTCTTCTCAATCTACTCCAAACGGATCTCTATCTCCACTGCTCTACAGAAGTCACCTTCAAGTCCAAGATACCATAAACTATAAAATGAACTAGTATTTTATGTAACATTGAGGAAAAAAAAAAACAACTCCCAATTAAATGGCGACTGACCATCCTTTGTAATCGTATCCCTACCTCACAGATGTTAAAATACAAAAAATTTAGAAATGAGGAAATACGGTATTCATTAATTTCACCAATGACTTCCACATTGTCCAATCTAATGGGCCACTTTTTAATCCTCTTACATGACTTCTTTGTGGCCCTGAACAGGGTTGATCACTCCTTCTCCTTATTGAAATGCTTTTCTCTTAGTTTCCAAGGCACTACTCTCTGATTTTCTCCTATTGCAATGTGGCTCCTCCTGTGCTAAACCTGTTCCCACCTAGTCCTGTGGTTTAAATACCAAACACTAACGTCTAAGTCAGGGTGCTTTACTGCAGTTGTAAATTCTACTCTGGCCCTGACCTTTTCACTGAGCTCCAAGCTTATTTATCCAATTACCTATTTAACCTCTCCACAGAGATGTCAAACAGGTATCTAACTTAACATGGACACAGTTGTTTTCTCCTCAGTAAATGGTACAACCAGTCAATCTGATAACTCAAGTCATCTTTGACTCTCTCCTTACCCTGATCCCACACATCCAATCCAATTCATCAGGAAGTCCTACTGGTTAAAAATCCATCAACATCTTCCCAAAACTATCGTAGCACGCTACCTAGCTTCTGTTCCTGACTCCTGCTAATTCATTCTCCATACAACATCCAAGGTAATCTTTTAAAAATACAAATCTTATGTTACTTCCTTGCCTACTTTCCAATGATTTGCAACTACACTTAAGATTAAAATTCAAAACTCATCTTAGTCTGTGAAGTTGTACAATGATTTGGACTTGGTATACTTCCTCAGTCTGGTAGCTTAATCTGCACCGCATGTAATCAAGAAAGATGTATAGAATATTATTGTTAGCAACATCATTAACTGTTTCAATGATCAAACCAAGATAACAACAAAAATGTACGTAAAGAGTCCTTTTAATGTTGAGATCGGGAAAAAAAGTTTATTGCTGCTCATTCTACAATTGTTGTAATTGCTCAGCCGCTGCCTGTGGAATGCAGTGGGGAAAATCAATGCTTACTATAAACATTTCAAAACGTAAATTTCAAAATTAGATTACCCACATATTTTTCCTTATAAAACAATGTTTTGAGACATTTGAATGATTCTATTATTTACTTATTTATAAAATGTTTTTGCAAGTACTATGCCCCCTTAACAAAAGTGGTGATTCCTGCTTTACTCCCTTGCAGATCTGTTCTGATTTATCAGTGTCTAATTTAAACCCTGGGGATGTACTGCAGAAGATGGATGCTTTCCTTCTACCGCCACCAGGGCCAGCTGCATCGAGTTCCTACAGCCCCTCCCTACCTCAGCTGTGTGCACAGTTTAAATTTCTACCGCATAAAGGAAGGAAAAGAGATTTAAGTCGGAAATGAGACTGGAGTTTTAAAACTGGACTATGTTTAAAAGCCAAAGAGCAATCAGAATGTTATGAAATTTGTTCAGGATGTTATAATGGGTACCTGGAATTCAACAAAGTAGAGTTGAAAGTAATGACTGGGGGAAAGAAAGATACTATTTTTGTTAATATCCCACTGAGCTGAGACTAATTAACACTTAGAGTCAAACTGTATACACAATTTTATATCATGGTTTTTCACTTAATAATAACACAATTTTCTCATCTTAAAAAAACTGTATAAACAGAACCTAATTAAGCTTAAAAGCTTTTGCATAGCAAAGGAAACTGTTGACAAAATGAAGACAAAGCTACTGAACAGAAAGTATCTGCAAATGATATGACTGATACGGGGTTAACAGCCACAATATATAAAGTGCTCATAAACCTCAACATCAAAAACCAAGCAACCAGATTAAAAAATCAGCAGAACTGAACAATTTTCCAAAGAAGACATACAGATGGCCAACAGGCTCATGAAAAGATGCTCAACATCGCTAATCACCAAAGAAATGCAAATTAAAACCACAATGATATATTATTACCTCACACCTGTCAGATGGCTATCATCAAAAAAGATAACAAATGATGGCGAGGATGTGGAGAAAAGGGAACCCTGTACACTGCCAGTGGGAATGTAAATTGGTGCACCACTGCGGAAGACAGCATAGAGATTCCTCAAAAAAACTAAAAATAGAACTGCCATATGACGCAGCAATTTCACTCTTGGGTATATATCTGAAAAAAACAAAAACACTAATTCAAAAAGATATATACACTCCAATGTTCATAGCAGCACTATTTACAATAGCCAAGATATGGACACAAATTAAGTGTCAACAGATGAATGGATAAAGAAAATGGGGGGTGTGTGTGTACATCCACATGCATACATAAACAATGGAATACTACTCAGCCATAAAAAAGAATGAAATTTTGCCATCTGCAACAACATGGACGGATCTGAAGAGTATTATACTTAGTGAAATAAGTCAAATACTGTATGTTATCACTTATATATGGAATCTAAAAAGTAAACAAACTATATATATAAAACAACAACAAAAAAAAACAGACTCAGATATAGAGAACAAACTAGTCATTACCAGCAGAGAGAAAAAAGGGGGGAGGGGCAAAATAGGGGTAGGGGCATGAGAAGTATAAACTACTGTCTATAAAATAAATAACCTACAAGGATATAGTGCACAGCACAGGGAATGTAGCCAACATTTGTAGTAACCACAAATACAGTATAATTTTTAAAAAATTGCAACTCATTATGTTGTACACCTGAAACATAATATTGTACACCAACTATACCTCAATAAAAAAATCTTCACAAATATCATTTATAATAATTTCACAATTCCACTTTACAGATAAACTATAATTTCTTTAACCATTACTCTATTGTAGGATACTGGTGTTTTCAAATTTTAATACTTGAATTACAGTAGCTATTTCTTCCTTTAAATATAATAATTACTATTAAACATCCACTGATCTACAAACAAACAGGCAAAGAAAAAACTGTACTATAAAAACTAGCAAACAAAACCAATCTGATAATTTCCGTATTTCAAAACTTTTAACACGCTGATCCTCCCACTCTGGATTGGATGCCCCTAAGGAAAGACAACTGTTACCCAAATTTGGGTGACATGGCAATCAACATTAAATAAGTGAAAGGACAAAAGAAGAAACTGGAAAAAAAGATGTTTGTCAAAAAACCTTTTTTTTAAATTAATATCTTTTTATATAGAAAGAGCTCAGACAAATCAACAAGGAAAAAATTCCATACATTAGAGAAAACGCTTTATACACAAAGAGGCTTATCAAACCATTTAACAATACAAGGAAAAATGTACATTTTGTTTATAAAGCTGATACAAGAATGGATATGTACAACCATGTACAAAAACACTACAGCATATAGATTAAAAGTGGTAATTTATCTTGAATGAGAGAATAATGAACAATTTTTAACTTTATAATTTTCAAATCTCTTGAAATTAGTATGCATGTTTTTATAATCAGAAAGCCAAAAAACCCCTACATCTATTAATGTATCCATCTCCTCAGTCTGAATAGTCTCTTGAAAGTTAAAGACGGTCCCTTTTTCCTCCAATCCTCAGTGTCTAGTATTGTGCTTTACAAATAGTAGGCTTTTAATAGCTACTTGTAGAATGAATTAATCGTTAAAATTCACTGTAAGGATTAATTAGTGGCACACCATGATCCCTCACTCCAAAAGTATCAACTCTAGCTAAAAGTCAGCCTCAATTTAAATGAATTTTGAGAGTAAGGACCATACTTGAGTTCTTTCAGCGATGAACTGTGATGAATGTTTTAGCCTAAGTAAAACAAATAAATCTCTGTAAGATGACGGCTACTTGGCATCTTCCAACAGTCTTTTCTTATTCTTACCATTCTAAGAAATGGTAAAACCAAAACAGAGCCAAAGTACAGGCAGCAATGGTCAAGCAGCAGCACAGAAAAAGAACCAGCCAAAAACTTGTTTCAGTGCAAGATCCTCAAGACAAGACTGTCTTGTCATTGTAAGGTGAGAATTTAAGTACATTTTATTAATTAAATTATGAATGCTATTACAAATGGATGAAATGTTCTAAAGAATTCTGCTTATAGTAAAGAAAATTCACTGTTTGAAGAAAAGATGCGTTTATTCTTTTACCTTGCCTGACTTAGAAGTTATATCAGGATGTGACTAAGGACAAGGAAGGGCTCTGAGGATGAGAATAGCTTATTACTCAAACTGAGGAAAAACTACTCCATTTCTTAGCTAGTTTAACAGCACTTCCAGCCCCAGATAAATTCTATGTTTATATAACACTATGAAGACTCCCTTGATGTCACACATTTTGACTCTTTCTTACCTGACACAATACAGCTGACAGCTCGTAACTGCTATGCCCAGACCCACACAATGACATTTGCTCTAACCCCACCAGTAACTGACTACCTCTGATGTTTCACTAATACACTGCTCTCATCACCCTTTTTTCATTCACACAATTATACCCCCAACCTTTAAGCTGAACAATCACCTTTTTAAGAGCGGAGTCTTTACTGTTTTAAAAGTCTTACAGAAAACAACTTGGGACATTTTTATTCCTTTGAGATTACAGGTGATCAACTCCTGGACTGATCACACAGTGGGTACACAAGTGCTTCTATGAACAAGATGTACAGAAAGAGAACATTCACCACCAATTCTACGAAACTGAGAGGCAACACAGAACTCACCTGAGTATAGAAGCCACTAGCTGCCTCTAGGAACAGAGAAAGGTTTGCCTGAACTTCACTCCGATTCGGGTTTGCTCGATTCTTTGCCTGGCCTTGTAGTGTTGTGATCTGATTCTTAAAGGCATGATTCCAGCTGAAAACAAAATGTAATTCTATTTGGTATAGCAGTGACTCACTGGGCAGACACTGGTCCCCCTGAGAACAAGAAAGAACTGTTTGTTATAATTATAACACACTAGACAGTAAACTTGCATTAAAGTTATTCACTTATTTAAATAACTTTATGCTCCCCTTTGAACAAGAATAGACAAGCCGTAGAAGGCATCTGACCTTGGTAAACACTTACCAAATGTTCGAATAACCAGACTGTGGCTTCAGTTACTAATCTTTTAGTGCTACTAGAGTTAGGCCCTATTTTGGGATCCCAGTATAAAATCAAAACCTCAGGGGCAACCAAAGTAAAAATAAACTATTAATAAACTTCCATACATTGTACAGCTGTGCCGAAAAATGACTGACTGTTCTTTATGAAGTGACATGTCTGGATCTGGGGAAAAAGACTGTTTTTTTGGGTCAATATTAAGCCATATCTCTTACTTCTCTAAAACCTATTTCCCACAGCACTCCATTCTTTTTCTGTTTAATAATTTGTTTATTTCTCTTAGGGCTAATATTTTCTTTCAAGCTTGAAATATAAGCTCATTTTTGATATTTCAATTTTGGCTATTCACTAATTTTGGCTATAAACTAAGAAACAACACAATGCTGAAATATGGCATACCAAAGTCTATTATAAACTGTCTTTCATTAATAAGTTGTATGGAGAATCATTTAAAATTCAGTTATGGTAAAATATAGTCACTCCCTAATTTGGAAATTACAGAGGGGAAAAAGATACAAACAAATAAAAATACCCAGAACCAGGATGGAGGAAAGGAAGATATTACTGGCTTGACTAAAGGAAGCAACATGGATGAAAAGGGTTTACAACCTACCTGGAAAGTACCTAATTCTTTATCAACAGCAGCTTTTCAGGCTCTTTTGAGGCACTGGGGTTTTTAATGTCTTATGAGGGCAATCACTCCCTCAGCACTTTTGATGCCATCTTATCCTTGACTCTAATATCAAAAATATGGATTTTGAGTGGTTGTGATTAAGCTCTATTACTAGACCTCCTAACAACATAAAGGTTAGGTGTGGAGGACAGGAAAAACTCATCTTCACCACAACTTAGCATAATGGGCATTATTAAATCGAATATTCTTGATTTTTAATTTTCCACCAGGCTAACATCCTTGTTCCAACTTATAATGTAAGGCCTTCCATGAATGGCATTCATTCACTCACTAGGGAATCTGACATCTGCCATTTCACCTCTCATAGAAAGAATGAGTAGAGCAGCCTAAACATACAAAATCCTTCTTTAGCTGTATTTTTGGGGGAAAAAAGGAAGTATTTATTTATTTGATTAAAAGGAAGAACTTTCCTTCTAATGCAAACACATTTTCTTTTGGGAGAAATTTATAGAATCACATTTATCAAAGAAAGATTTGTCTAAAGTCTACCCTTCAATTTCTTTTTTTTTAATCATATACTGAAGACAATACACAGAATCCAAACACTGTCTCTCAGTACTTGAAATATACACAGATTTGTTTTTATGATACGCCCTAAAGTCCTCAATAAGGCTCAACTCTAAACATTTCTCTTCTTGCCAACTAAGACTAGTCTGAAGAAAAACCAGTGGTCAAAAATTTTGCTAAAAAAATCACAAGTATTAGAATTTTTCTTTTCTTTCTTTTTTTTTTTAATGAAAAAGCTTACTCTGACACCGGTTAAAAAGGAACAACCAAATTGTTCTCTTCTATTCTAAAGCCTTGGTGAGACTCTTGATATTACAGGGACATCCCAAGTGATAATACTTACAGATCCTGTTCTACTTTCTTGTCTAAAGCGTATTCCAAATCAGTAACTAGCATTTTCTGGTACAGGTCCTGCAGAGCCTGCCTGGATGTCCAGACCTCAGCTGGACCCAGCTTGGAATCTGAGTAACGAAACAAAAACAGAACAGCAGATAGATGAACAGATAGTTAAGACCATTATACCATACCAGTGACTCCTTCACCCTCCTTTCCCCAGAGCAAAAGCTGCTTTCAGGACACACCACAGACTGCTGGGGAAGCTTTATACTGCCACGTTTCAAATGACTGTCATGTTCTGGCGAATGACTAAGTCCTGTTTAAAATGCTTCTTCATTTGTCTTTTAGTTTTGAAATAACACTATGAAGTGAAAAAGGCTTAAAAAAAAAGACTCATTTGCCCTTTGCTCCTAACTTGGACTTCTATGTATTCACACCACAGCAAGCCATGTGCCCAACAGTAAGTCACCCCGTTTGAAATGATGGACTGCCCAAATTGGTCTGTTTACTCGCATATCTCTTTGTCCAAATGTCTCTTCATTCTGAATCATTTTCACAGTTGTCCTTATAGAAGCCTCCTGCCGGCTCACAGTCCAGCAGGTGTTTGGGCATTCTGCTATTACTCCTACTCTCCAAGGCCAATAAAGCCTTGACAGTAAGTGTTATTTTAACGATTGGCAGACTGCTTGCCAAGACACTTTTGTGAGCAATACATACTTGCTATTTAATATAAATGAAGACCAGCAGCAGACAGTGATTAAACTGCTCAAGAGGCCAAATGAGAGACTGGGTTCAAGATGAAATCAGCAAGCCAGGCTATGCCCATACGTAGTACCAAACTGGGGCCACACTGTCTGCCAGAGTCCCGCAAGGCACATCAGCCTTTCTGATTACTAGGCTTACGAGTGCAGTAACTGACAGAAGAACTGAACAGTGGACTTCTCAGTGACAGATTTCTGCCTGCCAGTTAGCCTGGCTGGCTGGCTGCAGTCAGTATTTGCTGCTGCACAACGGCATGAGCCTCATTCTCCTTCAGGTCTGATGTCAGTATCTACAGCCACTGTCACCCTACTCTGCACACAGAATCTCCCAGCTATCTGAGCTAGTCCTCACAAGAGTTTCCTGGCTAATAAAAATAGGGTATTTTTTGGGGGGGGGGTTTGGTATCAGGTTCTTAGTCCCTTACTAAGTTTTCAATAACTAAGTAAAGAGATTTACAGACTTATTCAACCCTGCTTCAACTCATTGATGGCAGGGGAAGGATTATAAGGGATCGTTAACTCTGACCTGTCAGACAGAATATCATTTAAATGAATGGATTTAATAACTTAGTTAATGTTTCTGGGCAGTCAGATGTCCTCTATAAAAGTCAAACCCTAAGTCTACCTACTGAGGGTGTTTAACACTTGAGAAAATGTAAAAGGTATACAGATAGCTTAGCATTACCTGATGTACAACTTCTGTCAGACAGTGCAAATTTACGCTTACAATGACGGCACAAGGGCGTCATACAGCAGCTTAGAGCCGACACTGACATGAGCATGATGACAGCTATAAGGTGCTATGCGAAGTAAATCTACGAAAAGTGTTTTTGGCTTTTTTTTTTTTTTTTGCCTTGAACAAGATGTCGATGAGATTAGCCACAAATTCTCAGAACACTAGCCTGTAATTCTAGAAGTTGAGAAAAAGAGATCTAAACAGCCCATTTCCTCTTGGTTGCAAGTTTTGGCAGGTGTACTGGTTATAACAACAGTTTAATTCTTTGTGGGTTTAACTGCAGAATTAAATTCTTCAAAAATCAGAGTAAGTTGCTCTATGCCCTGTCTCTTTTACAGTTTCAGACAGTGACACAGAGCAAAGTGCTACTATGCTGTCACTCAGATCATATTCATTGCTACACAACTACTGTCATATATTCTCTAAGTTTGGAGTTAAAATCATCTGCTGCTTTTACTGACTTAAGTTCAGTTATTCTTTCAAAATCACCCTGGCGGCTATTAATCAAAATGAAAAAGAGAAAAGAAGGCAAAGTGGCAAGGTAGCTCAATTTCAAGGACTTCCAATTTGCAGGAGTTTTCCTGCAAATGTTCTTTCTTTTTCTGAAGGTTTACTTACTATTCAACTATAACCAGAAAGATATGAGCCTAACACCACAAGATACTTACTTGTGTTTATATGGTGTATGAATTATTTTTTCTGTATCTCTTAAGTCGCTGATAGTTTGTAAAAATTAAACAATTATATGCATTAAATTAGGTAATATTTGACTCAACATAGTGTAGATTATATAAAATTCTTGAGAAGCCATCTAAGAATTCAAAACATAAAATTCTTGAGACGCCATCTAAGTAAGAACTCAAAGTATAAAGACAATAAATACTTAAAACAAATAGTAAGTTATCATCCCCTTGTACTGCAGTGCAACCAGGACAGAACTATACGTAGCACAGAAAAGCAGATATACTCCCTTTAATTTAATGGTATAAAATAAGCTGTGGAAAACAAACGAGCCAGCCAGTACCTGTCATGTCAGCCTTCAGGACTTCTGCCTGCCTGAAAAAAGGAAAAAGAACATCAGTTAGAAACAAACTAGGCCCACCCAACATAGTAACACTACAGGTTTGAAGTTCAGTGGAATCAGACACTACAGGAAGGATGCACGGCGCTGCAGACAGCGCTCCCGTTTAACTTCCAGAGGACCGTGAGGTCTTGGCAAACCGATGCTATTACTGAAACGTTCACAGGGGCATCAGGAACTCTTCTCCTGAGTTCACTTTCTTACAGTTAGCTTCCAAATTGGATATATTTAAGGTAACATTAAATGATAATCATCAAATAAAGTTTTCCTTCAACGAGGTCAGAAAACCCTGTTTCTCAATTCACCAGCCGCTGTAACTATTTCAAATCTCCACTCTTGTCAAGCTACTGATTTCCGCCCCTTCCTCAGCCCCAGCCCTCTTCAGCAAGGGCAGCCCACACCTCAGGGAGAGCAATGCCCAGTTACCAAACACTGCATTCACATGGCCTTCTTCTTTCTCACCCTTTTTAAAACACTAGCAGTACTGCACCTCTTACTTAAGACTAGGAATTCCACTCAGGTATGCTCTTTCTAGCCTTTCTTAAGGGCTTCTGGTCCTATAATTTCAATAATTTAAAAACCTGCCTCTCTATTGGGTCCTTCTCATCAGTATTTAAATATGCCCCAGTCTCTCAGATTTTTGAAACTTCCTACCCTACATTCTCCTCTAGCTGCTGCTCCTTCTCTCTCTTCCAAATTCTTCAAGAATTGCCTGTGTTCAAGGGGTTGAAAACTGAACTCATGGTTCATCCCCACCCCACCTGGTTCTCTTTCTCTTAGCATTTGCATCTAAGCTTGCTGGCTGTGAGAAGCAGACACCTGGAAGTCACTCACGGCAACTGCCTCTCAAATCCCTGGTAATCTGTAACTCCAGAGGACTTCACCAGCCTGAGCACATCCTGAGGCTACTGCGCTCCCTTTACCGGCCCTTCAGCCCCTCTCGCCCAGGTCACAGCCGCCCCCTGCCTGGTCTACTGCAAAGCCCCCAAACCACTCTCCCCACTTCACTCTTGCCTCATTTCATTCTGTCCTCTTTACTGCTGCCAGAGGGAGCTTTTAAAAATGCAAATCTGACCTTACCAATTGCCCACTTAAAAATCTTTAATGATTTCCCACTGCACTTAGGGTAAAAAAGCAGAACCTTCATGAAAGTGCTCTACAGAGCACTCTGCACTCCAGCCCTTACTCCCTCTCTCCGGAGCTCTGTGCTCTAAGCCCCCGGGCTCTGGAGTCCCCCGAGTGCTCTGCTCCTTTCCCACTCAGGGCCATCGTAAAGAAGAGTCCCCCTGCTAGGGATACCTCTTCCCTCTTTGTCTGGCTCGCCACTCATCTTTCGTCTCAGTCAGAGACACGACTTCCTCAGGAAGCCTTACTTAAACCCTACATACAAGAAGGATACTGCTGTTTTATGCTCTCAAAGCACTCGTATTTTTTCTTCACAGTACATATCTCAGATTTTAAGAATGCTCACCATCACAACCCCCATGCCTGCTAGCACACTGCCTAGCATGCAGTGTGCTTTCAATAAATATTTTTTAAGTGTAGAAAGGAAAAAGGTTAAATTATGTTCATATCTTCTATTTAAGAAGTATATAAACTTAAGAGATCTCCATTTTTAAAAAAAAATTTGACATAAAAGCTAGAGAATACTGAGATTCTAAAATTCTAAATTTAAATGTTTTACATAATTTATTAAGTATTTAATATCAGTTGTGAAGTTTAGTTTCATCAAAACGTAACATGAATCTTTTCATTTTCCTACCTTTTAAAAAGATAACATGCTTTTCAAAAATTAGGCTTTCAAACAGAATCACAATAGGATGCTATAGAAACCATGAGCTGTATGAGAACTACCAGTATAAACAAACAATACTAAACAAACAGCTACACTCAGTCCTAAAATGTAACATCATGTCAAATTCCATCATCCATACAGCCTAGTTTCACTGTTTGCTTTGAATGTTAAACTTCTGCCATTAAAAAAAAAATCGTAACAAGGTTATTGGTTTATGCCTTTAAAGCCTAAGATTATACAACTTAAGAATACCATGTATCCTACCCTACCAACGTCACAACCCACCCCCACCCCCAGCCCCAGGCCTTCCCAGAGCACTACTAACTGAAGAACCTCATACTGAGACAGCCAGCTCTGATCATGCATTGCCACATGATTCAATAACCTTTCATTCTGAGCTGCAAAGTTGCGAAGGATATACTTCACTATGCTTCCATATCTTAGCTAAAAATCCATACTTTGGTATATACAAGATATACTTAGGATCATGTGCCTACACGGTGTCTCCTCATCCCAGACAAGATTTGCTTGTAAAGATGAACAAATACCATTTTGGTACATGAACACCTGCCTAATGAGGATACCAATTTCCAGTCAAATGAAGATTAAATTGAACATATGACAGGAACTATCTCCAAATAATCTGCTTCTCTGATAGGCCATCATTAAGAGAAGAACTATAATTGTAGCAGATTCTGGAGCAGGTTTCCACTGATAAATAAAGATCAAAATTTTGCTCTATTTTTATATACTATAGCCTCTCTAAGAAAACTGTAAAACAGAAAATCCAAACACTAACAAAAATGCAAACTCCTAAGAACTACCTGATGTGAAATGTTCAAGCATTCTGAAGTTCCAGGAGTTCTGATTCCTCAGTATGACAAGGGAAGAGGTGCTCACCTCTGCGCACAGTTCCCTCCCAGGCTCCAAAAGAGACACGTCAGTGACTAAAACAGCCTTGCTAAACTGAACTGGTGAAAAGACAGCTCAATGGAAAATAAAACAGCTACCACGATTCCCATTTTATAAACAAGGAAACTGGAGCTCAGAAAGAATTTGTCCATAGTCACAAGCAATTAGATATGATTAAGTACAAATTTAGTTCTTTCTGACTCCAAAATCCAATTTATTTCTATTTCTTTCAAATTAGAATAAAAATACTCTATGACATAAAAACGCTAACATAGATCTATCTAGGTTCAGTTTTGTTCTCTGTCAATCAAATGCTAACATTTAAGTCCACTAGCCTAAATTAAAAATCTGTTCATATTATGGAAGAAATAATATGAGATTTTTATCAGGAAGAACACAAGGAGTAAAATTCATATTCTAGTGCAGTGGTCAGCCGTGGGCGAAAGTCCCTGCCTTTCACACTGAGTCAGTTTTTGTAAATCAGTTTCACTAGAAGAGTCATGCCCATTCATTTACTGCTTGTCTACAGCTGCTCTCTGCTACAAGGGCAGAGGACGGTAGCTGGGACACGACCACGTGTCTCACCAAGCCTAAAATATTTACTATCTGGCCCCTTTTCAGAAAGTTTGGCTCTCCTGCTTTAGGGAGTACTTGATCCAAAAACTGAGAAGTCTGTATCTACATATATATATATATATATATATAACTATAAATTCCCAAACCAGTTTTCCCATATGAGGAATTATCAACAATAGTTTCCTCAGAGTAAAGATCTATTTTTATTCATTAATATCATAATCTTGTCACAAAGAGGACTACATTAAAAAGTGGTCTCATGGAATTGCAAAGTTAGTACCTGTAGGCGACACTATGTTTTTGATGGAATTTATTTGCAAACTGTTTAAAAATGGCTGTTTATATATTATCCACTAATTCTTCCTTTTTCCTGTGTACCAAAAATATACATTTACATAGATGAGAGGGTTAAACTGAAGATTACTACCTCACCAGAAGAAGAATCCCCATCCTCCTACCACTACACAATCATTAGGCTTTTTTATATAGTGCATAATATACAAGAAATCGAATCAATAGACAGTGATCTTATACCAACTGCTTTCATAAAGATTAGCACAAAATTGGCTATTGGATGATTTTCTTTTTTTTATAAAGAAAAAATACTACAACTCAGCTGATCTACTGGTTTTGTTTTGTTTTCTTCCTGGTTTTGTTAAAGACTAATATTGTTAAAAGATTAATGTTACAGTTTATAGCCCATGCTCATATAGAGAAAAGAGTTTAAAAATGTTTCCCCTTGGTTTCTAGAAGGTGTGGCAACATGAGTTCCTTTTTATTCTTACTTTTAGCGGAAGGAATTATTGAAAAGAGTGAACAAACCAAGAACTCAAGAATTAATGTCATCATGCCTTCAGTAACAAAATAGCACTACTAAACAATTATATAAAGCTTTGAAAACAGCCAATATATTGTTTCATTTAATAAATAAGAGAAATTAAGCACTTCTATCAAACAATAAAAAAGAAAAAGTCATTAAAAGGCTGAATAAAATCTGAAACATTCAGTGATAATCAAATGTTTAGAGCTAACAATCTGAAACAACACTCTTGGAGACAACACGGTCGCCAGGGCCTGCACGTGCAGGTGGCGCATTCTGACACACGAGGCGTACTGAAACAGCCAGCACTGCATTCAGCACCCACTGTCCTACAATCAGGGCCTTCCACGAAGTCAGTCATTTAATCCACAGTACGTGCTATCATTACCTGCACTTTATGAAGAAACCCAAGGTGACAGAAGTTAAGTAACAAGGTTGTCAAGTTAGTAAGTAGTAGAGGCAGCACTTTAACACACTGATTTCAGAACCTAACTCCTAACTGTTGTATCATAGTTCCTCTCTTATACACGATTTTAAGGAAAAAAAAATCTGGAATGTTTAATAGTAAGTAGCCCCCCCAGAATCGGGGCCTTCAATAATTAAACATTTTATGGTAACGTTTTTATAATGTCACTAGAGGAAAAAAGCTAATTAACGCTTATCTTCTTTAACAAATAGCTTGCTTACACACAGCACTGATACAACAATGCAAGGCACCCAATATAGGCTACTCTCTCTTAAGAACACACATTAAGATCCATGGCTTAAAAACAGAAGATATTTCCAAATCAGGGACAGAGTCAACGGAAGACTCCTTCTACCTGGACTCCCAACCCCCTCCCTCCTATAAGCAGAACATAAGAATATAAGCCAGTATCTCCTAAACTCAGCTGTGAAGGAAAGGTCAATCGGCCTCTTCTGTTTTGGAAGACAAGGCTAGAGTAATTTTTTTTTGAAATTTAAATAAAAGCCACAACGGGTTTTATTTCAAGATAATTTGGTTATTTACTTATTTCCACAAAGTACTAAGGAATATTTAGGATGACAGTAGCCATCAATTATAATCATAAACATAGTATCAAATGATAACTATTTGTGCTAAATAACAGGCCAGACCTAGAAACTGTACTAAAGTGAGCTGGCTCGGGCAGACGTGACTACGCACCCCAGATCTTAGAGACACCACCGAGTCTCGTGGCAGTGATGAGAAAAAAGGAAACCATACTGTCCGCTGCTGAGTCCCACACATGAGCATCTAGGGAAGACGCTGCTCCCAAAGGAGCTCCTCTCAGTGAGAGAACAGAACGCAAACTTGCTGTCTACGCTCCCTGCCGTCTGTCACAGGTTTACAGACCGCCCAGCACTCCAATGGCCTACATCACAACCTTCACTTGACAATCTGCATTATTTGAGTATGTGAGTATTATCTGAGTATTTAGTTAATGAGCATAGGTGTTTTTAAGGGCCAGTTCAGGTCTGGGAATCTCAAAGCGTAAGGAGTCGTTCTTCCTGGCAGAGAAAGCAGCACAACAATAAAGACACAGGCGAGCCAGTGAGAGAGGCAGCCTGCCACATCAAACGCAAGGTAGGAAGCTTCAGAAGATGAGCTGGAGAATCAAGGCGCGCGGCAGGCTGTGAGGCCTCACATGACATGTGAAGGAGCTCAGATTTTGTCTTTTAACTAACAGGAAACCAGTACTGAATTTTAAGCACGAACACAGTATTGTCAGGATTGCACTTTTAAAAGATTACAACAAGATGCGTGGAAGATGGATTTTAATGAGGCAAAACTGGAAGACTCCAAAGCAAGGAAGTGACAATACAGATGGATGGAAAAGCCTAGACTCAAGAAATATCTGTAAGTAAAATCAGTAGGAGAGACAAAGCAGAGGAAATAGTCTAAAATCATTCCCAGACTGTTGGCTTGGACATCTGGGTGTACAAGAAGTGGAGGCATGTAAGCAGACACTCAGAGCTGAGTGTCAAGGACGGGGCAGACATGAGACTGGGGACACAGTGCTGCAGTGAACAGCACAGCAGTGTAGTTAAAACCGTGAGAGTATGGGTAACTGCGCAGAAAGGCAGAAGGGTGGTGCTACGTCCTCACCTTCACTTTTAAGGGGCAGTTAAAGGAAAGATCAAGAATACCAAGAAGGAACAGGTATGTGAGGGCAACAGAAGAGCGGTGTACGGAAAAGAAGAGGATAAAAGGGAAGAGGAGTCAACAACACTAAAGGCAGCGTAAGGACTGGAAAGTGCGCTGGATTTGGTAGAACAAGGGTCAACGACAGCCTTGTCAGAGAAAGGAAAAAAGGTCAAACTGCAGGGAAAATGAGGAACAAATGAGAGGGAGAAGTTTAAATCAACTCTTTAAGACACTGGCTGCGAAAAGAAAGAGAAGGGGGCCATGGGTCAAGAGAAGTTTCTGCTTTTCAATGGGAGCGAATCGGGCATGTTTGGAATGTAGAAAAGAACCTAGGAGAAAGGTCTAGGCTAAGACAGGGAAATGAAAATAAAACTGACAGAGCAGGGCACTGGAAGAGATGGAAGGACCTGAGAACGCGCGTACAAGCCAGGAAGCACAGCTGGCGTTAAAAAGGGGCAGGGTGAAATTGGAGGGAGGAAGAAGAGACAGAAATGTGCTAGGAAAATCTGGGAGTAATGCAGGGTGGAGAGATGTCAAGAGAATTCACTGCTACACTGCCTCAAATTCAGAGATAAAGTAGATCAGATCAGTGTCTGCAAGTAAGAGGGAGATTAACTGAGGAGAATGATGGATCTCTGGGATAATTGCAAAATGAATAGGAAACTTACGGCAAAGAAAAGAACTGAGAAAAGTGAATGGTGCCATATGACTTAGACACAATGAAAAATATGAAAACAGATCAAGATATAAGCAGATAAATAGGGCAGAGGACCAAACTGATTGTTCAAAAAAGGAGATATAACTAGCAAGTACAAATGAAAACAGGTAAATATTTTTACTCTAAATAATCAAGAAAATAATATACATGCTAGCCTTAAAGACAGTGGGCATCTCATACCTCTAAGGAACTCGAGGCAGAGTAGAAGCCACAAAGACATATACAATAATTTGATAATTTCAATAAAACATGATTGAGAATAGGATGGGAATGCATACCTAGAGTACAAACAGAGAAAGAGAAGAGCCCCTGGAGTGAGGGAGAAGGCGGCATTCAGGGCTACATTCCTAACACCTAGAAGAAGGCCTGGAGCGCCACAGCTGCTCACTAAACCTTCGCTGAATTAATACAACGTGTATCATACAGAAGGCAATTTTATGTAACAGACAATGACACAGAATAAAAAAGACTTAGGTCTGAATCTGCGTTTCTTACATACTAGTAGTGCTACCTTGGAGTTTGTTTCCAAGAAACCTCAATTTCCTCGTCTATGAAACTGATACAAACTCCCTTTCAGTGTTGCTATGAGGAATAAATAAGACAACAAGTAAGTTGCATAGAAGAACTGGACTGATAACTCCAGGAGGGAGGGGTAATCCGACTGTGACATGAATACCTCAGTGACCACCAAATTACTTTTCCTAATCTGGTCACTGGCACAGGATCCCTTCTGAAGTAGCACCCCAGGCTGAAGGAGACAACATTCCAAGGTGGAGGTCAAAAATCCTAGGCCATCTACTACCACATCATGCTAAGTCACAAAAGAAAGAGACACTATTTGAATGTCACCATGACCACATTCTAGCATGCACAGAAAATAAAGCTGAAGGTAGACAGACAAAAATTACAAACAATTTCTAGTATTTTATTTTTGCTTCTTCCCAAACATCAGTTTTGATTACATAACTTAAGCAAATACATTTTAAAAATTGGACCCGATAATAATCAAGCCTAGAAATGTCATGGTAATTGATTAGACTCTAAACTAATCTGCTAAGAATTAACTAATAGCCTAAATAGTAATACAGTTTGATCACGTACTATTTATTTGCCAGGTCCTATTTTCATGCTTTCATATGTTACCGAATCTTTAATTCTCACATTAAATCTATCAGGTAAGTAATAACATTATCCCCGTTTTTCTGATGGGGAAACGTTTACCCCGCCCAGTCATACAGCTACGAAGGGTCAGCGCCTGGGCTCCAGAGCTCATAAGCATTATACAGCACTGCAGGTCTTCTGGAATATTCTGGCCATAAGTGTCACTGTCATGGTATCAACTTCTAGGGGCAACTATCACTTCTCGTTTAAAACCCACAATTCCAAGTCAAGCACCTTCACATTCTGTCATTTCCACTGACGCAAGTTGATATGACAAGAGCTGCTAGCTCACCACGTGGTTGGAGAGGCTTCTCTTGCACACCATCACATGCCTATCTCTATAGGCGCCTAGGAGGCATGACTGCATCCAGGCTGGCATACAGAACCAAGAACTGATGATCCCGCACTCCAATGAGTGCCATATACGTAACCCAGCACACAGGCATTTTCATTTTAAAGGATAATCTGTAAGACAGATCACACGTCCCTCTGCTGATCATAAATAGTCACAGCATATATAAACATAAAAATTTCTTGTATTTACTTTAGTAAATGTTTAAAAAGTTTCCTTGGACTACAAGATATAAATGCTCATGACAAAGTAAACATGACAAATCTCTCATGAAGCCACATAAGTAAAAGAAATTTTTTTAGCACTCCCCACCCCCCCATCCTGGCCAATATTAAATGCTTTAGAAAGCCTCTAATTCTTCTATTAGTGTTCGTAGTATATGAATATTTTAACATATATCTCTAAAAGAAATACAAACATGTAGAAACCCCTTGTAATTTTTATCCTACCTAATATTACTTGATTTCAGATGCTCCTCTGATTTCAAGTTTCCGGTCCTCATCTGGGACTTAAATGAAACGTTTTCTCCCACAACGACTATCTGCAAGAACATCCAAGCTCTCACAAGGTAGAATGGGTTAAGACATTCTAGACAGAGGAGAGGAGGAAAACATGAGTTAACCCACAACAACAGAGAATCCCCTTGAAGAAAGTTAAATTATTTTCTCTTTATTTAAAATGATTCAATGTCAAAGGTAAAGGAAAAATATCAAAGCTTTTTTTCCTTTTTATATTTAGTTTCCTAGAACACACATTTAAAATTTGTAAATTCCTCAAATATATTTGATTTGTATATTTCTAAAAATTCTAGTTTGGGATTGAAGTGTTATTCTAATCTCACTCCCTGTCTGAAAGCTGAGTGATTTTTACAAGCAAGCAGACACCAGTTACCCAGCAGGGTTCTTGTAGTACCAAGGTGACAGCACCCTGCAGAACACAGGAGCAGATGGCTGGTGCAAACTGGACTGCTTATAGAAGGAAACACGTGTAAAGCAACTAAATCACAATTATAGATGGTATAAATAATGCTTAAGTTCTAAGATAATCTGAAAATGGCCAGTTTTTAGATCTTCATTCCCTCACTGAGCAGTGATTTGGTCACTCCTATGTGCTAGATTATAGTATTTGGACTAGGTATACAATAATGAACGAAACAGATTACAGTTCCTACACAGATTTAAACTCTAATGTGGAGACAGACCAACGAGGACAGCGAAGGCAGCAGAAGGCGGTGGTTAAAGGCATGAACGTGGGTGCACACTGCACTCAACAGCATGCTGGGAGTAATTCAAGACACAGGAAAAAATATAGCACGATTTCTTAGGGACATCAATTTAACTCAAAGATTTGGACAAGATAAAATAAGCTAAGGAATTATTACTGGATACCGATAATTGCTTCCATTTACATTACACTGTGGCAGATTCTATGCTAAATGTTCTAAACATCTGATCTCACAGAACGGGAGTGTAACGTAGTAGTTATGTATTTTATACCCCAGACTGCCTGCGTTCAAACCAAGCTCTGCCACTTATGCACTGTGTCACCTTAGAAAAATTACTTCTCTGTGTCCCAGTTTTGTCAGAAGTAAGAAGGAGATAATAAAAGCATCTATCCCACTGAGATGTTTTGAGGATTAAATGAGGTACAGAAATAAAACACCTAGGACTGTTCTCGGTAAGTAAGCCCTCAAAAAATGTTAGCTATTATTGTCATTATTACCTTTATAGTTATCATTACTCTTCCCAACAATCCTAAAATGTAAATGCTACTATTACCCTCATTCTAAAATTAGGAAATTGAAGCTAAGAACACACACTAATCAATTCTAGAAAAGAAAACAAAGTTATTCATAATTTTTAACAATACAACATCAGTCTTAAGAGAAACTTCAAACATGCAGGAGGCCTTTGTGGACTTTGTCTCCATACTTCCAAAACCTGTATTCAATCTCCTGTGCTCTAGTCGTACTTTAGAGGAAAGGCTAGAAGAAAATAACCTCACGATAAAACCCAAGCATGTTAGTACAGCACGTAAGGCCCCACACAGTTCCCCACCATATACCTTATGACCCAATAAAACTAGATTCCTTTAGTTCCTTGCTATTTTGCCCCTTAGTATCTTCATTCATGCTTTTTCACTGACCAGGAATGCCTGCCCTCTTCTCTCCTTGCTTGGTTAACCCCTTCTCATATTACTCCGTAACTCCTATAACAGGGACTTGGCTTGGCCAAGCACTTCCAGAGCATCTTAATGCCTGCTTCTACTACAGCACTCACAGTACTGTGATGAACTTATCTGTTCAGATTTCCTCCACCAGAGACTACCCTTAGACGACATATGCCAGAACAAAGGTTTTCAACACTATTGGACTCAACGCCTTAAAAAAAAAATGCATTATTTGCAATAACTCTTGTACCTTCCTGAAATAAAATACAAGGTAATATAAGCTACGTACTTAACACATTAAAAATAAATAACTAAATGCCTTATAAGTAACAGGAAAAATAAAAGGAAAGCAATTTTTAATGAAAACTATTGTCTCTTTATATAAATGGTCAGGTAAGACTACCCTTAAAGACACATGAAGTAATCAATGCCTGCATATACTCATAATTTTAAGAGATTAACAGAATCCCAAAGATAAGAATATGAAAGCAAAAATACGAACAGACACTAGAATTAAAATGCGTGTTAACGTAACAACAGACAGACCTACTGGAAATGTAAGAATAAGAGAGAAACAAGGGACACAGGGACAGCATGACAAGACAAAGCATAAAGAGCTGATGTGCGGAAACAGGGGTGTCACTATACCCTTTGATGGGTAACAGGGAGCAAAAATTAGACTGGAAAAAGATACAGCAAACAGTCCTATATATAATGTAAAACACCACATAAATTTAAGTTAGGAAAAAAATAAAGTACAACTTGCCAATTTGGAGTAGGAGGATAGCATGGGACATAGACAGGTTAATTAGCTCAGCTAGTAACAATATTTAAGATACTGTCTGATTTAACTAAATAAAAGAATCTATAAATTATTACGGTACATAAAGTATTCTCTACCTCTGGTCTAGGTGGTCTCTGAAATTACAAATAAAAGATATGCAAAAATCAAATCTGATTTTCCCACCCAAGAACCATTATTCAGCCCATACTTTCAGACACCAGTTTTACCTAGTCACATTCCTTTCTTCTTTCTTACTTTTCTATCTGATGAAAGTAAGGGGTGCTGTATTATAATCAAATAATCTAACAAATTAAACCTGATACAGATCATAGAGGGCCTACGGAAGATTGCCATGTTAATGGCCTCAATGAATCACATACCTCCAGGCATCTGCACCATTGTGGACCCTCTTCACACAGTGACCCTGGGTTTGGCCATGTGACTTACTTTGGCCAATTAAACCTCAGGAAGTGTGACAAAAACAGAGGCTTGATAAACACTTGTCCATTTGGGCTTGCCCTTTTGTAGGCATCAGTATGTTACAAAGCCAGCGAGATAAGTCCCTTGGAAAGAGGGAACTCAGTTTTCCCACCTACCCCAGTTGAGGGTCTAGATGTTTGAATAAGGCCATCTTGGACTACTCAGGTCAGGCTGAGCCGCCAGATGACTAAGTTATTTAACTTGACTTAGATGGTCTAAAAGATGGGACACCTTTGGAGATTTTGAGCAAAAGGTGCTAGATTTTAACAGGTTCCACCTGGCCACTATGTTGAGCCCTGACCAGCTTGGACAGAAGACAGCAGTAGAGATGGTAAGATGTGATCAGACTCTGACCAACAGCATTTGTTGAGTGAAATATAAAAAAAAAAGAGAGAGAGAGAGGAATCAAAGATAATTCACGGTTTTCAGCCTAAGCGAATGGAACAGTGGACTTGTCATCTACTAGCAAGAGAAAGATAATATAAGCAGGTGTAGGAGAGGAGTTCACTGTGGACAACAGTGCTCGGCACACGGTGTTACATAGCCACTTACTGTTATTTTTTATAACGATGATAACTTTGAAATTTTATACATCCACATGAATGTATACTGGCAGTTAAAGAATCTGAGGTTTAAAGAAAAAGTCTGGACTACAGATATTCATTTGGGAGTCATCAGCACATAGACGTTAGAGATGTAAACAGAGTTAATGGCCAGAGAGGAGGGAGGAAAACATGTTGAACGTGGTGCCCTGGAATCCAAATGAAGAAAAAGCTTCAAAAAAGAGGGGAGAACCAATAAATGCTGCTGATACATCAAGTAAAATGAGGCCTGAGAAGTGAGTACTGGATTTAGTAACATGGAAGTCACTGAGGACCTTTTTAAGAAGAATCTGGGCAGAGAAGCGGTGGTATCAGTCCATGAGATGAATTCAATAGAAAATGACAGGAAAGAAACTGAGACCAAAGCTGAGCTTAGACACCTTCATCTGGGAAGGAGAGGCAGTAGAGAGAAGTGTGAGAGTCAAAGAGTTTTTAAGAAAGAGTACATAATATTTTTTGGAATGGAATAAATAACAACATGGAAAAGATTCAATGGAGGGAAAACAGGATGAAAACAGTCTCATGAATGCCACAGGGGCTTGTTTCAATATTGCACATGTTTAAAAGGTAAAAAGGTGCTTGAATGAAAGAATAAAATTTAAAGTGCATATATAAAGAAAGAGAAGTAATAGTTATCGGGGGGCCTAGTAAATGACAAATGGATTACGTAAGCCATTTCTGATTTAATTTTCATACCAACCGAAGCTAACTACTATTTTTCCAATTTTACAAAAAAAAAAAAAAAGGCTCAGAGATTTTAGGAAACTTGCCCAAGTTCACAAATATAGTAAGTGCTAGGACTGGCATTCAAAGCCAGGTGTATCAGAATGCCATGGTTTAAACTCCGTTTATTTATTATTCCATGATGCAATACAGACCTCAATTTTCAACAATCCACATATTCAAAGCTAAATTGTGAATATTTTATTGCTTATGATTTTATTCAGAATTTGCCTTTTGAATAGTGTAAGGCCCACCCACATCCCCTTTCACCTAAACCTGAAAAACCCTACTCCAGGAACTCTTCCTGATTTTAGCATCTCACATAGATTCTGTCCTGGGGTCTCATAAGCTGTTCTTCCCACCCTCTCTTTCTCCTTAACACAACACAAAACAAAAATCCTAACTTCTAAAAAATTGTGTTAATAAGACATTTACCAGATGACACAGGTCTACTGTATCATTTTCTTGCACAAACTATACAGGAGAAACAAACACACACAGACTTCAGTAGCAACAGCAGAACATTCCTTGGAGTGACTCTAAGTCATCCCTTCAAATAATTTGTACCAGGGCTTAGGGCCAAAGTTATTCATTGAAAGAGTTCTTGAATATATGATTTTAAAAAAAAAGGTAGGTGGTATCATGTGGACAGACCGTCACACTATACCACTTCCTTAGATAGCATCAGTAATAAAGATCAAACAAATTTTACTATACTCTCCCATAATGCTCCTCAAAGCAAAAATACAGCCTAGCCTCAATGTGATTCCAACATCACTCAGTTTTTAAGTTCTTTGTTACTATAAATAAGGGGGAAAACCCTCTTTAGT